TATTTCCTTTTATAGCACATAACCCTCTACCTACTCCTAACATCAATTTAGGATATGATGGGAAATGTTTTTTGCCCCAATATTAATTACCTGAACTTCTACCCCTTTAAAACAAAACTACCGGAGTAAATAAGAGGCTTTTAGCATTATTTATTTATTTATTTTTGCCTGTCCTGGGCCATGAACTCTGGGCTTGGGCTCTGTCCCTGAGCTTTTGCTCAAGGCTAGCACTCTACCACTTGAGCCACAGCACCATGTCTGGCCTTTTCTGTTTATGTGGTACTGAGGAATCGAGCCCAGGGCTTTATGCACGCTAAGGCAAACATTCTACCACTAAGTCACATTCCTAGTTCTTAGCATTTTTTTTTTAAAGATTCAGTGTTCCATTGTATATTAAAATTTTTCAGATACAGGTCTCTGGGCTGATCAGCTTTTTAGACTTTTCTGTGAAAGTAGTATACTTGGTCTGCCTTGACTTGGGAAAAGTTACTGGTGTACATTTACCTATTAACTGGCCCCGTGGTCTTTGGCCTTTCATGCTACATCACCCCTCATCTTCTAGAAGATAATGTTAGTAGGAGTCTTCAAAAATAGACAGGTTTTATTTTCCTTTTTTTGATTTTTAAATTTTTTTAATTGTAAAGATATTGTACAGAGGGGTTACAGTTACATGAGCAAGGTAATGAGTCCATTTCCTGTCAAGTATTGTTACCCCGTCCTTTGTTTTTCTCCTATCATCCCTTCCTCCCCCCCCCAAAAAAAGTTGTAAAATTCATTATTAACATAGTGTCTTGTATACCTTGTTGTTACAATGGGTCATCCTGAATCCTTATTTCAGCATTTTGTTATTTCCCTTCCCCTCCCCAAGTTAGAAAAATGTATATACAAGGTGCAGGACACAGGAATAAAATACAGTGACAACAGGGGTTGTACCATGGGGGAAGAACATACAAAGAAACAAAAAAAAATCACATAGTATATTATAAATACATTAAAAAGATCAACAAGAAAGATAAAAGCTCTTCTGTCCCCTTGGGGTTCATTTTGCTTAGCATGGGGGTTATATGGTCATATGTGTACATAGCTTGTGACCTCTTCTGGTTGTCCTAGACATACACTAGTTACTGCAGATAAGGGAAACCATGGGACCTAGGTTGCTTTGGGTTTGGCTTACTTCACTTAAGCCAAAGTCTTTCCATTTCTTAACAAATGGGGCAGTGTCATTCTTTCTGACGGAGGCATAGAATTCCATTGTTTATATATGCCACATTTTCTTGATTCATTCATCTACTGAGGGGCATCTGGGTTGGTTCCATATCTTAGCTATGTTGAGTAATGCTGCAGTAAACATAGTTGTGCTGGTTTTTCTTTTATTATACCCAAGCACACTAAATCAGACACCTGCTGTCGTGCTGTTTTTTATCCAGGTACCTTGAAGGGAATTCATAAACGCAGTCTATGAGATTGCTCTACAAGACTTGTGTTTTGCTTATATAGTTTCTTTGTTAAAAGTTGGAACAGCTTTGTTCTTTTGAGAAAGAAGGATGTGAACTTTGAAATCAGTGCACTTTATGGTGCTTTGGTGGCACTAGAATGCCCCCTGGTGGGACTCTAGAGATATGCTCTACAGCAAATGAAACCGCCGTATAGTTGGAAACCCAGAATGCTCTGAAGTCTGAAACTTGAAGTCTAAAACTTGTTGAGTCCCAACAGAACATTACAAGTCTACTGGTTTACTGTCCATGACACTTTGTTTCACAAGCAAAACTATGAAAACTATTGTGAGAAATTTTTTCCAGGTAGTATGTATTAGGTGTATAAGAGACAATGATTTTTAGGTTTGGTCCCTATCCCCAAGATACCTGTATATGTGAACATTCCAGAAACCCCAAATATCCAAAGCACTTCTGGTCCAACATTGTGACTATAGAATACTTGGCCATCACAGTTTCTTATTCTTTTTTGTTATGTTTCCAACTAACAAATTAATCTTGTTTTAAAAGATAAATTAAAAATATATCCAGGCACAAGTTTACCAAGAATAACAAAACGAACGTTTTTAAAAATCCTAGGGTGCCCAAGTTTGAGCGTTTGTGAACTGACTCTTGCAGTGGTGTGGGAAATGGAGTGTAAAGGATAATAGGGGCCACAGAGAGAGCAGGAGGAAGTATCATTGTGCCATAAACGTTCTCTGTAGTACCAGGTACTTCAGTACCCAGTGCTGTTGTATCATGAAAGCAGCCCTAGATTGTACAGAAAGGAGTGCTCACACTTGTGTTCCAGTAAAACTGTTTACAGACAGCCTGGAGTTAGCCAGTTGCCAGCCCCCAGTCACCAATATACTTATGAGTAAGGACAAATGCACATGCTTACGGGCAATCCAGGATTACAGCTGGTGTAACTCGGTTATGGATTCGTTTAGTGAGTGAGAAAAAAAGAAGTTAAGTTGTATTTCCAATCTCTAGCTTATTCAGCTGTGTGTGGGGAAAATGGTGACTAGTAGTGCAAAGACAAGGAATGCAGCAGGGAGGCTATAAAATAGTTTAGGTGGACTCAGGCCAGACCTCAGGATGTAGAAAGTGGCTCGCTCCCCGCATGACAATTTAGGTGAGTACTTACTTGCTGGACAGTGGATGTGTGTAGAAAGAGATGGGTGACATTAATAATGATGCATTGTACTCATACAGCTACATGTTGAATTGAAACACCTTTGTGCACCTACTTAAAGATAATAATTACCTGTGCTTAGGTAAATACACATGAAAACCTTAGAACTACCCTAGGAAGAGAGAAAAAGACACAAGATAGTATCCAGAATAACCTAGTGTCAGTGTCAAGGAGAAGGAGACAGGCATGTGGTCAGCTGATGTTAAAATAAGGCGAAGGGACAGTTCAGATGAAGTTCCTGGGGGCTGGGCAAAGTCTGGGATTATCATCGTGCCCTATAATCCCAGCTACCTGAGTGACAAGTTGAGGCCAACCTCAACCAAAAATGGCTATGGAAACACTATCTCGAAAACAAGCTAGCTTGGTGTGCCTGCCTATCCCAATTAATTAACAGGGGACAAGATAGGAAGACTGGATCTCAGTCTGGAGATGGCCTGGGACAAAAATATGAGACTATCTGAAAAAGAACTAAAGCAAAGGGGACTGATGTGCAGCTCAAGTGGTAATGCTTGCCTAGCAAATGCTAAACTCTTGAGTTCAAACACTAGTAAAATGCATACTCACGTGTATATATACACAAACACCTTTATATTTGGTTCTATGGAGATCATTTCGGATGTGGTTAAAGTTTTAAATTGTCTTTGGTAGATGGGTTTGTTCATAGAAGAACAAACTTTAAAATCTAGTTTTTGACCATTTTAAGCCCAACTGGGTACTAATGGCTCACACCTTTAATCCTAGTTACTCAAAAGGCTGAGATCTGGAGGATAATGATTTGAGCCCAGCCTGAGCATAAATAGTTCACAAGACTCTATCTCACATAACCAATGAAAAGACAAGCTAAAGGCATGGTTTAGATGATAGAGCTCCAGCCTAGCAAATAAGCTACCACCCTGAGTTCAAGCCCCAATACCTCCAAAGAAAAAATTAGGTTCATTTTGCACATTGAACATTCTCACACTAAGAATATTCATTTACTAGCAATAGTTTCTTGAAGTCATTGACTGATGTCCTTTAGTTAAAATGACATTAATAAATGACTTTCTATTAAATGACATTTTATGGCATTTGAAAATGTAATACAATCTTTATTTTTTTCTTTTAAAGAAAAAAAAATTCTGCCAGCCTGACAATTGAAGTTGTAGTTGCTAGAGGGCCTCGTGAACACTGAGCATGAGTTCTGCATTGAGGCCTACTCCTCTTAAGTTGTGGGGTTTTTTGCGGGGTAGGGGGAGAGCGGGGAGGGATACTGGAGTTTTACGCTTTTTTCCCCCCTGATCCTGGGCATTATCACTGAGCCTCTTTGTGCTCAAGAATAGCACTCTACTACTTTGAACTACAATGCCACTTCTAGCTTTTTGTGAGTGGTTTATTGGAGGTAAGAGTCTCCTGGACATTCCTGCCCGAGCTGGCTTTGAACCGTGATTCTCAGATCTCAGTCTCTTGAGTAGTTAGGATTATAGGCATATGGGCATGAGTCACCGTCGCCTGCTATATGTTACTGGTTTTTGAACTCAAGGCCTTGTACTTGTTAAGCAGGCAGTCTACTACTTGATCCATATTTCAATTCCTTTTGCATTATTAGTTTTTAGATAGAGTCTTGCTTTATGCCCAGGTCAGTCTGGACAGCACTGACAACACTTCCCAGATAGCTGGAATGACAGGAGTCACAACACCCAGCTTTTTATTGGTTGAGATGGAGTCCATGAGACTTTACTTTCCAATAAATAACTCAGAAAAATCCAGAAGTGGTGCTCTGGTTCAAGTGATAGAACAATATCCTTGAGCAAAAGAAGCTCCAGGAGAGCATCGAGGCCCCGAGTTCAAGGCCCAAGACTGGCAAAACAACAACAAAAATAATAAGGCAGTTGGATTTCTTTTTGTGATTTTCTCTGACTCCAAGATTGTGACTTCTAAAGATCATAGCACATATACCTAAAAACTGAGTCTTGCCTGGGTCATTGTAGATTAAGATAAATGTAAGACTCCTGTTTAAATAAAATGGTCAATATGTGTTAGAAACACCAGCATACACAGTCTTCTGATTTATATTTAGAACATATTCATCTCCTTATTTGCCCTATTAGGGATTTTCATGTTGCCCAAAGTAGAATTTATGATTTCCTTGAGAAGGTAAGCTCAATAATAGCACAGATTTTTCTGTTTTGCTCACTGTTATATTTCTAATAAATGGAATATACAACACTTCACATATTCAGGTATTTGTTGAGTAAATGAATGCGTGAAAAGGTGAGTGTTCTAAATAAGAGATAATTTACTTGTAATGTTAGGTTATGCCGTTGCTTTCTCTTATTTTCTTTTTCTTCTTTTAGGTAGAAACTACTAATACTAGCCTCCTGCAGGTGCAGCTAGAATGCAGTTTACATAATAAAGTGTGTCAACAGTTAAAGGTAATTTAAAAGCATTTAGTATTTTGAAAACCGCTGGGTTTTTCTGCTTTTTTGCTTAAAAATAGTATATTCTGTTCTCAGAAATAGACATGCTGTTGCCTTAAGTGATTGTCATTTTCAAAAATTTGAACTCAGAGTTCTGATGGTTTTTTTGATACTTTCTTTTTTTTCTTCCTCCTTTTAATCTCAGAGTTGTTACCTGGAATCTGATGATGTCTTGCAATTACAAATGAGCATAATTGTAACAATGGAAAACTCCTCAAAAGAATTAGAAAAAAACACACAAGATTTGCTAGATCATCTCTCTATTGTATATGTAGCTACAGATAAACCTGAGACCTCAGGTAAGATGAAATCTGTTAAAAATTTCAAGGTAGAGCTGGGAGATTTAGCATGTGGTGGAGCGTCTGCTCAAGGCCCTGGGTTCCATCCTCAGGAACTGCCTAAAAACTTTTGCATAGTATATGATATTTGTAAGTTAGGCTTTTCTAATACTCTTTGATTATGATGACTTCTGGTATGGAGTGTGCATATGTATTCAAATTCAAGGAAAGAGTGGTGCAAATAATACCTAAGAGCATAGATTTTTATTGACAGTCACGGTCTTGTGTGTGTGCTAGAGACCTGTACACAGGACCTCGCATGATAAGCATGGGTCCTTCCACGGAAACACACCCTAGCCCTGATAGCATTCTTTTTTTTAAACTGCATTTTTTTGTCTTGTCTTTTTTTATTCTGAGGATCAAATCCAGGACATTGTACTTGCTAGTCAAGCGCTTTGCCCTGAGCTACATCCCAGCTCCCTGCTAGCATGCTTAGTTGATGGTCAAACATCATTTGTCTTCCAGTGCTCAGAATTGGCTATTGTAGTAATGGGTCAGCTGGGGAGGTCTCTTGCCCTCAGCTTTATCACTTTTGATGAGTGGTAGACACTGCTTTAGGGATTGCTATCCTGTGGGGAACATTTCTGCCATATAAGTAAAGGCTAAGAGAAATCTGGTATTCTGAGATGCCAGAGTTTAATTCTTTCCAAATATGGTTATCTAAATTAGGAAGTACAAGAGTTGCCAACCAAGGTTTAGCTTTATTTCAGGCTATCTCATTGGTTAGTGAAGGATGTACCATAATATTAAATTCATACCTTCTCTCTTGAGAATTTTTCGTCGTTTAGTGAGCCTAGGTGATTAGCCAATCCTTTTATAAGGATCTTTCCTCTTGTGACTTAAAGTTAATACCCACCAGCATTCGTAAAACTCTGGCCACCACCAACACACACACATACACCAACACACACACACACACACACCAACACACACACACACACACAGAGCTTTGCTCTTCATTTGGATTTCAGAATTGTGCACAGAAGCTCTTGTAGAACTGTATAATCAGTTACTGTTTAAGATGTGGGAATTTTATGTTGTAATATCATTGCTCTGATTCTTTTGGACAGATGATTCTGCAGTAAATATGTATGTATTACATTCAGGAAACAGCCTTATATGGATACAGGTAATTATCAATGCTTACATAAAGTAGAATTTGAAATTATAAGGATAAATTTAACTGCAAGACCTGAAGGCTTTTCAGAAACAGATGCTGAGACAGTTGTAAAGACTGTGTTTTGCTTTCAATTAACCCTTTGTCCTTTGCTTGAACCCCTGTTTGCATGGAGGTTTTCAGCACTCACTTTCTGCTGCTGTTCATTCATCTGTCAAGCAGTTGCTAGGTGCCTTGTCTGTGCTGTTTACTTACTTGAACAGAGTGGGTTCAAGCTGGGTAAATACTTCCTTGGCAAAGAGGGGTAATGTGGATTTTATTTTCTTGTTTTTACAGGATGTTCATCATTTCTCCCATAGAAATGATCTGTCTCTGCAGTTTGAACCCATACTACTACCTACTTCCACAACAAACTTTACAAAAATTGCCTCTTTTACTTGCAAAGGTACACGTTTTAGTAATATTGAAGATTTATTTTGTTACAACAGATGGGGCATGGCTTTTATTAAGTGAATTGGTTTGATTTCAATAAACTCTTAGAGATAAGTTTGATCCAGAAACCGTGGCTGATGCCACTTGTATTCTGCCACGTGTACAGGAGGTGATGCTTTCACAGGTAGGATAGTTGTGTCAGGATTGTTTAGAGTGTAATGCATAATGTCTAGTCAGTACAAGCCTAGTCCTCTTTCCAGGTTCTTACAGTTACAAAGTTCTGTAAAAAAAAATTAGGTTGATTTGAGTCATAACAAAACATGCATACCCTCAATCATCTTTAAAGGAATGTAATTTAGAGCAATAAATGCAATGTAACTTATTACTAAGGGTGATAGAGATCAAAGAGATTGTTAGTATTCTGTGTTAGTAATGATTAAAAAATGTTTATGTTTTAACCAAAATAGAATAGATAGCATACTGTTTGGAGGGAAATCTGGCAATCTTAGAAAATTTCTAGTTGAAGGAATGTGTCCCACAGATACACGTATCTGCAAAACTATACCTGAGCTGGGCAGGGTTGGTGCACAACTGTAACTCCTTAGAAGGCTGAGTAGGAGATTTCTTGAACATAAGAGGTTTAGCTCAGCCTGTGTAATTTTTATTAAAAGCCCAATCTACAGAAATAGACTTGTGACAAAGAACAGCCTAAAACAGCTACTGTTGTTGCAATGAATTCATGTACAGGAGAGTGTACTGTGAAACCATTAAAAAGCATCACAACATATGATAGGAGCAAGATGTGGCATTTAGTTGTTTGAAAGGCAGGGTGCAGGCCAACCACTAGTGGCTCATGTCTATAACCCTAGCTACTCAGGAGGGTGAGATCTGAGGATCACAGTTCAAAACTAGCCCAGGTAGGAAAGTCTATGAGATTCTTATTTTCAGTTACCAGCAAAAGCTGGAAGTGGAGCTGTGGCTCAAGTGGTTAGAGCCCTATCCTTGAGCAAAAAAGCTCAGGGACAGAACCCAGGCCTGAAATCAAACCCCAGAACTGGCCTAAAAAAAGGGACTGGGGAGTGTTGTGTGTATACTCAACTATACATACAACACTGGAAGGAACCTAAGGTACTGCTGTTTTTTCTGAGGTGGTTGGTAAGTCAGGGGTAAAAAGTTGACTTAGTTTTATATATTTTTTGTTAGTATTTGAATTTTGTTTTTGATCTATATGTACTTTTTATTTATGTATTTATTTTGGTTGGTCATGGGGCCTGAACTCTGGGCCTGGGCACTGTTCCTCAGCTCAAAGCTAGTGCTCTACAACTTGAGCCACAGCACCACTTAATGGCTTTTTCTGCTTACGTGGTGGTGAAGAATCGAACCCAAGGCCTCATGCATGCAAGGCAAGCACTCTGCCACTGAGCCACCTTCCCAGCCCTAGATGTATTTTTTAAAAAGCATGACAGTTAAGAATTCAACACAAGGGGCTGGGAAGGTAGCTCAGTGGTAGAGCACTTGCCTTGCATGCCTGAGGCCCTGGGTTCGATTCCTCAGCACCACATAAGCAAAAAGAAAAAAGCCGGAAGTGGCGCTGTGGCTCAAGAGGTAGAGTGCTAGCCTTGAGCTGAAGGGCTGAGGGACAGTGCCCAGGGCCCAGAGTTCAGGCCCCACGACCGGACCAAAAAAAAAAAAAAAAAGAATTCAACACGAGTAGTTTAATTATATGACCTACATCAAGGAAAACATTATTTTGAATTAATCAATAGTATTTTGAAATACATTCCCACTTTCTTTTGGGGGAGGGGGGTCAGGAGACTTGAATTCTGGGTCTGGGTGCTGTCCCTGAGCTCTCAGCTTATGGCAAGCGCTCTACCACTTGAACCATAGTGCCACTTCCTGTTTTCTGGTGGTTAATTGGAGATAAGAGACTCAAAGACTGGCTGGAAAGGTGGCTCAGTGGTAGAGTGCTTGCCTTACATGCATGAGGCCTTGGGTTTGATTCCTCACCACCATATAAGAAGAAAAAACCGGAAGTGATGCTGTGGCTCAAGTGGTAGGGTGCTAGCTGAGAGACAGTGTCCAGGCCCAGAGTTTAGGCCCCACAACCAACCAAAAAAAAAATTTAAGAAAAGGAAAAAAAAAAGTCTCAAGGACTTTGCTGCCCAGGCTAGCTTCAAACTGCGATCCTCAAATCTCTGCCTCCTGAGTAGCTAGGATTACAAGCGCCCAGCTTCCCATGTTTATTTTTTTAAGTTCCATTCGTTCTTCCACACTTACTTCTCCACATGCTTTTGTTACTTCACCAGTGAGCTTTTGAGTTTTACTTTTGTCTTTAATGTTAGGACTTTGTTCTATGTGCAGAAAATCAACATGGTATTGACTTGTAGCCCTCCCCACCTCCAAGAAAAAATTGAGAGTGTGGTTTAAAAGGGGGAGAGGAGGAATATAGATAACAGATGCCAGATGATTGGCAACAAGCTAGTCAAGAAGAAAGGCGGATTGGAAGTGTTAGAGAAAGTATCCTCCACATATGGTTCCTTCACTAATTTAGTAGAGACTGAAAAGTGAATAGTCTGTATCTTTTTTTGTTTAATCTTAGTGAAATTGAAAGTGCTTATGCATGACATTTATTTCTTTATACCTACAGCAGCTACATCATGTGATGGTAAAGTTACAGAAGTTGTGAAGAAAAAAAACATTCCAACACTAAACTCATGTCTTGCCTCTCCAGTAATTCAGGGGTAAGTTCATTCCACTTTCCCTGAAATCCTGAGGTTTTCATCCTTACATTTTCAAAATGTAATTGATAGGAGCCAGACATTGGTGGCTTACGCCTGTAATCTTAGCTACTCAGAAGACCCAAGAACTAGAGGACTGCAGTAAAAAATCAGCCCAGGCAGAAAAGTCAACTAGATTCCATCTTCAAAATAACCAAAAGAAAACTGGGCTGGGGGTGTGATATAAGTGGTAGAGTACCAAACCAAGCAAACCAACTTAGCATGATGTCCTGACTTTATATAATAATTTTCTTTCTGGACTTGCCACCTGTGCATTAGCACATGAAAGCTTTCGTAGCAGAATGGGAAGAGAGAATTAAACAATTAGAGTAATAAAATAAACTCCACACCAGGCAGCCATGTGTTTGGAAAGAAATGCTCATGTGTTCTCTGAGTTTCATGAGTTGTTCTGGTCCTGGTTTTGTCCCATGGCCTCTGCAAATACCTTGATCGTGACCTGGCCTTCAATATGAGTGTGAACCAGAAGGTGATGAAGTGATCCAAACCTTGATAAGGTTTTACACTGCTCTCCTTTTTGCACTTGGAAGCTCCTGTGAGAGTGGACTGCTTCTTTATGTGGGGTGATTGTCTGTATGCCTTTTGTTTGCAGGTATTTCAGAGTGGAAACTTCTGCAGCCCAGTTTCTCCTACAGGGTCATGAGAACTCATCAAGGGGGTGGTCAATATGGTACCTCAACTATTTTGACTATGGTGTTGTATTAAAGGATGTGTTTGTTTCCAGGGAGACCAAACACATTTTAAAGGTATATATATACATACATACGATATTTTTCTCTTAAGTTTTAGCCCATTTGTCTAAAGTTGTCTAAAGCTTTGTCTAAAGTTGAATGCTATGGAATGAATATCAGTAGAAATTAATTTTGACTTCTAATTTTAAAGCACTTTTAGAATTATAGGAAACCTGTATTCTTGTTTATTCATGCCTTCCCCTTCCCTGTAGCTCCCTTTCTCACTCAACTATTGTTCATGGATCTCAAATGGTTAGCAATATATTGATTAAAAATATTCTTACCATTATTAAAAAATGTCATATGATTTGTACTAAAAGATTATATTTAGTAAAAATAGACTTCAAAATTTTGTAAAGTATAAAATAGGATCATATTAAGTATTTAGAATATATTATTTCTACAATAATAGTCTTTGGCCTGGAACTAATTGAGATTGAATTAGGCTTCTTCATGTGTAGCAGAACCTTAGCATCATCATAGTCTATAATGATCTTAGTCATTTTTAGTGTTAGGAAAAGTAATCTTTCTTGCTTCTTTTCTTTTTAGATTCTGAATTTCACTGGCCCTTTATTTCTACCTCCAGGCTGTTGGAATATATTTTCTTTGAAACTTGCTGTTAAAGACATTACCATAAATCTGTTTACCAATGTATTTTTGACAACAAACATAGGTGCCATTTTTGCAATACCTCTGCACATTTTCTCAGCACCAACCAAGGTATTGTTTACAACACTGTATGTGTGTTACAATTTTAATAGCACTTTATATGGTGTTTAGGTTTTATTAATTGGGTTGCATTTATATTCTTAAGGGTGTCTAAAAAAATGGATAATCCCAAGCCAGTCTTAGATGATACATTTGTTTACATGTGGAACTCTGTTTGGAAATGTGCTATTTTTATTTTTCATAAAGTAATTTGAAATTACTTTTTAAAGAAAAATACTACTACCAAGTGCTGATGGCTCATATCCATAATCCTAGCTACTCAGGAAGCTGAGATCTGAGCATTGTGGTTATAAGCCAGCCTAGTCAGCAAAGTACATGACTGTTACTCCACTTAACTACCAAAAGGCCTGAAGTAGAGCTGTGGCTCAAGGGGTAACTCTTGAGCAAAAGAAGCTTAGGAACAGTGCCCAGGCCCTGAGTTCAAGCCCCAGGACTGGCGCATGCATGCATGCATATATATGTGTGCGCACACACACGCACGCATGCACGCACATGAAGTAAAGCACTACAAATGGAATAATCAGTTTCATTTTCATTTAATTTGAAAGGTATTTTTTTTTTAATGCTAGGTATCAATTTCAGGGCCTTACAGCCATTTAGTCAAGTACTCTACCACTGAGCAGGGCCAGCTCTTACTTTCCAGCAGTTTTAAAGTGAAGAGTGTTTGCTGCTATAGCAGACATGGTTGAGCTTTTAACATTAACTTGTAATGATTTCAAATACATTGGAGATTGTTAAATGTTTTAGTTATACGTCTTTAAGTGATTTGTTTGTGAGCCAAGTCTTAAGCCTGAAAGAGTCCATAAGAGAAAGCTTTCTAAAATCTGGACAAATTGTGTTTTATTTAGATTATCTTAAACCTATCTCATTTTTCTTAATATGTATTTCTTTTTATTTGGTTATTATTACTTCCTTTTGCTCAAAGCTATTCTGTGTAACAGTGGGTTTTAACTTTCTCTTCGAAACATTCATGCAACCATCTTTATTATTTTTCTCACTTACTGTTGATGTTTCATAATTAGAAATGCCTCATAGTTAGCTGTTAAGTATGAAGGTAGAACACACTGAAAATCAAACACAACAAAACGTAACCATATTTATCTATTTTGAATAGGGGAGATTTCTTTAAAAGTTCCCTTTTCCAGTCAAGAGATGCATATATGAAGAGTGACCGTGGGAGGGATTAGAGGCCAGGCTCCAGAAGCAAGTGAAGTAACAAGTGTACATTCTCCACAATGCAAATAGGCATTCAGTGTTTGGGGTAGGTAGGAATTCGCATACACTGGAATCTGAGGATTAGAATGCACACTGTAAAACAAACAATCTGAAAACAAAACCACTGGGAATGTCCTAAGAGGGATCAATCTTTAATTAACATGGCAGTGTGGTGTCTTGTGGATCCAGGGCTTGTCATTATGGGCATTGATGATTGTACAGAATCTACTGTAGTGAGAGGCAGCTCAGATTTCTTTGGATTCAATGATTAAGGAAACAAATTCTTGTTTGGCTTTTAGTTAAAAGTGAGTTTCACTGAAGTAGAGGCTTCATATTTTTGTGTGTTAGGATTTTTATGTTGAGTGTTGTGCTTTAAGTTATTTATATATTACTTTTTAATCTAGGAAGGGAGTCTGGGTTTTGAAGTGATAGCACATTGTGGCATGCATTATTTCATGGGAAAATCAAAAGCAGGTAAGTGTTTTGCTTTTAGGCTTTCTGTAGAACTCCAGTTTGGTGGGGGGGAATGGGAAACAGTGAGTGAAATTAACATTTTTAGATGAAATAATTGATTCTCTTAGAGTACTTGTGTCATATTCTGTTTGGAAGCATAGTCATGGACAGAATGACCTGAAATAGTTATAAATCCTCCAGTGTACTTATGTAAATAGTGCCCTCTTGGTTTCAGTAGCTTAAATCTTTGTTAAGAGATCTTTTTTTTAAAAAAATACTGTTTGGTCATTATAGTAGACTTGAATCTAGGAAAAATGGAAATTTTCTGATCTTTGTGTGAAAAAGTGGACTTATAAGTTAGGAAATTTGGAATTGTATGTGCAGACTTAATAGGTACACGTACATCTCATTAAGAGGTACTAAGTGGCTTGAGTGACTGAAGGTCATGGTGTTGATACAGAAATGATTTATAGGTTGTTTGGGGTTTGTTTTCCCCTGAATTTTGGTTAGTTCATGCACTTGTCCAGGATCCGCCTCTAGTCCCCCTCTCTCATTGGAATTTTGGTTGAAGATTTCCAAGATAAAGATCGACATTTACATAGAAAATAGTTTTGTATTTTAGATTTAAAGCTGTGAGAAATGTTGCAAATATTGACTTGTTTCAGGCTGTATTCATGAGCCATGTCTTTTATGTTACAACCTTCATATGATCCATTTAGTTTTGCTTTTTACATGTTTAATTTGATCTATCATTTGCCGTGGAGTTAGAGGGACTTTAGTAGAGCAGCTCAGGGAAAGAGATAGAATTTTACTGTGTAGTGCTCTCAGTTTGAGAAGCCAGAAGAGTCAGCAGCATTATTTTACTTACTGAATTGTACTTCCAGTAAATCTAATATAGAAATCTGATCTAACTTTTAGAAAATCCTAATTGGGACAAGAGCCTTTCTCTGGACCAGTCTACCTGGAGCATGGATTCTGAACTTGCAAGTAAATTGTATGAACGATGGAAGAAATACAAAAATGGTGATGTCTGCAGGTAAGTCTGAAAGGACTGCCTCTGCCCTCTCAGCCCAGTCAAAGTTTTCATCTTTTATTTTCCTGTTGGGAAAGACTATTACCCAGAACTTTTTTTGAAATTACATTCCTAATTTTTAGTGATCAGTATTGTTACCTATCTAGCCTGGCTCATTCAGTAGTTGTACAAAGTGGTTTCAACTCAACTCAGTTTATGAGTATACTCACTTTTTTTTGTGTATGCCCGTCCAGTCCTGGGGCTTGAACTCAGGGCCTAGTCACTGTCCCTAGGCTTTTTTCCTCAAGGCTGCAGTTCTGCCACTTGAGACAGATCCGGTCAAGCTTTTTGGTAGTTAATTAGTGATAAGAGTCTCATGAACTTTCCTGCCCAGGCTGGCTTTGAGTCATGATCCTCACATCACAGCCTCCTGAGTAGGTAGGAGTATAGACATTAGCCAGCAATGCCCGACTTACACTCAATTTTTTTTTTTTTTTTGCTAAGTCACTTGAAAATAAGTTGTAAGTACTTTTTCTTTTATGAATTAGTTGTTTCTTAGGGAGGATATTCTCTTGTATGGATCTATACTGTCATTGTACACCTAACAATCTCATTGATGATATAATTTTGTTATCTGCATTAAGAATTCCCTGGTCAGTTGGATGCTAGTGGCTCATACCTATAATTGTAGCTACTCAGGAGGCTAAGATCTGAGGATTGTGGTTCAAAGCCAGACTGGGTAGGAAAGTCTATGAGACTCATCTCCACTAAAACTTAGTCAGAAAAAGCTGGAAGTGGTGTGGTGGCTCAAGTAGTTGAGTGCCAGCCTTGAGCCAAACAAAGCTCAGAAACAGAGCCCAGGCCTGAGCTTTAAGCCTCAGGACCAGCACCAAAAAAATAGATTTTCCCTGGTTGAGTTAAATATTTGTTGTACCTATGTGTGTTGTGTTTTTATGGGTTTGTTTTTTATTGTTGTTGTTTGTGGCAGTACTGGTACTGGTGTTTGAACTCTTTTTTTTTTTTAATGTTATTATAAAGGTGATGTACAGAGGGGTTATAGTCTTTTAAATTTTTTTTCGTGTTATTATAAAGGTGATATTCAAGGGTTATAGTTACATAAGTCAGGTAATGAATACCTTTCTTTATGAACAGTGTCACCCCTTCCTTCATTCTCTCCCAGTTTTTCCTTCTTATCCCTACCCACAAGTTGTATAGTTCATTTTAACATAGTATCCAGTGAGTACCAATGCTGCATTTGTGGAGTTTGAACTCTTACACTTACTTTTTTTTTGGTTGTGGGGCTTGAACTCTGGGCCTCAGTTCTGTGTCCCTCAGCTCTTCAGCTCAAGGCTAGCGCTCTACCATTTGAGCCACAGCACCACTTCTGGTTTTCTGGTGGTTAGTTTTCCTGCCCTGGCTGGCTTTGAACCTTGATCCTAAGCTCTCAGCTTCCTACTTGAGTAGCTAGGACTACAGGCATGAGCCATGGGCACTCGGTACCACTACTTCTTTAGCCACATTTCCTGCCTGACTTTTTGCTGGTTATTTTGGAGGTGGAGTCTCACAGACTTTTCTGCCTGGCCTTGAACCACAATTCTCCAGATTTCAGCTACCTGAAAAGCTAGGATTACAGGTGTGAGCGACTGGCTCCCTGCTGATATTTTTTTTATGTCATATACATTTATTGTTTCCTAAGAATGTTTCACTCAGTGGTTTTAGCATTCATGGGTAATCCTTGTTTGAATTACCTGTTAGACTAATGGCTACAAAATGGTAAAATTTCTAGTGATTTCTTTCATTCTACATTTACTAATACATAATTTGTTAAAAGCCTTCTTAAAAATATCACTATAGTTTCTTAGTGTGTTGTATTATGTTATCATAATTACTGTTGTTGATGACAAATTGTCCTAAGTCTAGTGTGGGTGCCTTGAGAGGGTGGCTTGTGTGGCTTTTATATGTTGTCATCATTCTCTGAGCAATTCTTAGCTTTTTCAGGACAACAGACTGTTCTAGAGTCAGAGCTTTTTTGGGGGGTGCTATAGATCATATTTGGTGTCTCCTGCTTGTTCAGCATGTGTTCTAGCTCTGAGCTATGCCCCCAGCACCTTAGAGTGCTTCCTAACATTTTCTCTTCCCCGGTAGCCCTTGTTCCTTTGAGGAAGAATGGTATTCAGTGATTTCTCATTTATAAAATGTCAAAACTATTTATCATAATCTTTTCTTTCTTTATCACCTATCCAGGAGGAATGTTTTAGGAGTGGCTCAGTTTGCTCATTTGAAGAAATCCAAGGAATTGGAATCCTTTGTTTCATATTTGCCGCGTTTAGTTGCAGAGCCTGGCCTTGTGATAAACTTCAGCGCAACTGCCCTCAAGAGCAGTGTGGTGAGGATAAGATACTGTGTCTCATCATCCTTTTGGTCAGGGGCATTCCATCTCTTGGCCTTTTCAAACTGCCAGAATATTTCCACTCAGGGATATTATTTCAGACCAAACACACCCATGTGTCATTAGGACATTTTGAATTGGGGAGGTGTCTAAAGAACAAAATGGCAAGTGAAACTCTTGAGCAGACTGAAAAGTCACTAGATAAAGAAGTGCTGAATTGATAGGAAGTTCTTAAATAAATGTGTGAGTTAAAATTTTGAACAACAGGCAGGAAAAATTCTTGGCTTAAGTGAATGAGGCTTGGTGTCATAAGGAGACGCTCAGAAGAAATACGCCCAGGGGGAACCAGGTTGCTCTGTGATACCATTAGGAACTGGGGCTCCATCTATCAGTTGACTTAATGTGTTGGCTTCCTTCCTTATATGTGCATCTCTGTCTAGCCAGGGTGGCAGAATGAGGGCACAGGGAATGAGATACCATTAGTGGGCATTCATTTATGTCTCATAATGGCAAACTGCATCACACATGCTCAGAGTTAAATATGCATCTTAGCCAGTGCTCATTGAGCTTCCTTAGGATGATACCCTAGGGATGCTTTTTTTTTCTTAATATTTTGTTTTGAAGCAATAGAGAAAAGAGTAATATCAACTGTTCCCAATTGCTGTTTACCAAGATTCCTTGCTGTATAGTGTTTGCCACACTTTTAGGTCATTTCCTGTCACTCCAGATACACATACTTTTTTGAACCATTGAAAGTGTCCTTGGGCTGCTTCATCTGTTTCACTGGCAATTATTTATGAGCAAGAGAAATTTTCTATATAGCTAGAACATAATTATCAAAACCAGGAAATGAAATATTTATTACAATGTTGCTACCTGATTTACTTTTTTTTTTTTTTTTGGGTCCAGTCATGGGACCTGAACTCTGGGCCTGGTCACTGTCCCTCAGCTCTTCAGCTCAAGGCTAGTGCTCTACCACTTGAGCCACAGCGCCACTTCCGGCTTTTTTCTGTTTGCTTATGTGGTGCTGAGGAATCGAACCCAGGGCCTCATGCATACAAGGCAAGCACTCTACCACTGAGCCACCTTCCCAGCCCCTGATTTTACATTTTGTGTTCAAGTTTTTCCAACAAACTTAATGCCTTACTTGTAAGTTTTGGTTTTTTTTTCTTAGATCAAGATCAGCCTAGGATCTCACTATATTTTAAGTCTCCCCCAACCTGTCTCTGCCTTTCATGGCATATCCCTTTTTTGTGTGTGTGTGTACTATGTGCTCTTTCATTGAGCTTACACCCCTAGTTTCACAGAGGTTTTTGCAGAGTGCAGGCCATTTGTTTTCAAAGCTTTGTGGTGGTTCCTTCTGATTAGATCCTAGTCGTGATTTTATAGTAGGACTACCTCAGGAGGATACTATGCTGTTCACTCTCTGAACACTCTTTTCCCCATGTCTAGGTGAAGTACTTCATGGTGAGGAACCCATCTTCTCTGCCAGTCTCCTTGCAGCTCCTACCTCTTTCCTTGTACCCAAAGCCCGAAGCTGCAGTGCGCCTGCTGCACAAATGGTAGGAAGACTGATAAGGCAGGGTGGGCAACCCAGACTGTTAACCTTCAGAATGTGAAAATCCTGTAGTTCTGTCTCCTGGGCTTTTGATGTATGAATCTGGGTACCTGTCCCCTGAATACACATGATTTGATGGAAGATGCTTTCATTCACTGTTACTGTGTTGGCTCTATCATGCAACAAAATGTTCTTTTCTTAAGTTAGGCATAAGAAACAAGTTAAAAGATAAGTGTTGGGATGCACACCAATCATCTTAGCAACTCAAGGAGGCAGGATTTGAGAGCAGCTTGCATAACTTAGTTGAACCTGATGGATGGATGGGTGGATGGGTGGATGGATGGGTGGCAAGAGTTTTATAGTATATCCTAATCTAGACTATTTGTTCATATCTGTTATATACTATTTTTTTATAATCAAAGGAAGACATCCTTTGATCTCAGGGTTTCTCAACCTCAGCATCATTAACATTTTGGACCAGAAGATACTGGGACAGGGAGGCTGTCTTGAATATTGAAGGAAGTTTAGAAGCATCCTTGGCTTTTGCTATTAGAGGCTAGTAGGACTTAACAGCCATGACTACCAAAAATGTCTTCAGACACTACCAGGTGTTTTGGGAAATAAAGTGACTTTTGGTAGTTTATCCTTTCAGGTTCTGTAGCTGTGAGCTATTTTGAGGGAAAAACCCTGCTTTCTATTTAAAACTTTTGACATTGTATATTTCTTTACATCTGTTGCCACCCAAGTCATTCATTAAATAACATTTATTGAGTACTTAGTGTATGCCAGGTATGGGTAAGTGTGGAATGGGGCCAAGATAGAGTAGCCAAAGGACCAAGTAGGAGAAGGAGAAAGAGAGAATATGAATGTGTGTGTAAATATATATGTGCACAAATGGGAGATATTAACTCTTCATTGTCAGATTGAATGCTATTTTGAATATTTGGGTTTTTCTTTGTAGGTTTGGCACCGATATGCAGATGGTTAATTTCACAACTGGTGAATTCCAGCTTACCAAAGCTTGCCCTTACCGGGTAGGATATCATCTCCAAACAGCAAAAAGAACTTTTGACAGACTAGCCTCCAAAGTAGTGTTTAAGTGTCTTTTTGTTCTATGTGTGGCTCTCTGATTTTTGTTCTCTAGGCATGGAAGCATAGTAGGTTTTTCTAATTAACTAGTGCAGCACTAGTTAGAGTCATGCCTCTCAATTATTTTAATGTGGTGGTTTGAATCGACACAAATGAATAACAATTGAATCAGTGCTATGTAGAAAACCATGGAATTTTAGCTAAGCCCAGAATTTATATTTCTCTTACGATTCCTTGACCTCCTGAAATCCTTTTTAGGATGAGATAAGGAAAGCAAATACATTAAAAAAAATTTTTTTTTACTACATTGTCTTTGTGTGTTTAGCAAATCATCTGGTTCCTGTGGTATTCATCTCACTGTTAAAACAAATTTTCTAAAAAGTTTTAAATTTCTGGACAACCACGAAGTCTTGCTTCAGTGGTTAGGAGTTAGTAATGACGTATTACAGGCTGGGGATGTCTGCCTGCAGACTGGGCATTTGATCCTCAGCTTTCACTCAGTAGTTTTTGTATGGTTGAGAATTGGCCTCACAGTATGTAAAATAAATAGATAAATTCAAAAGGGAAGCATCTGTAGAAAGAATGCTCACAGACACGTACTCAAGCACACACACATACTTAAATGGGATGGGTAATTTTCTTTTTCTACCCTACTCCTTCATACACTGTTGCTCTACTTAACTGGAATAACAAGAAGGAGACCACAGATAAGACTTAAGAGTTCAGTTATGAGTTCAACAATAGGGAAGTTTTCAGTATAATCTTGTCTACAACAGAAAACACCTTGCCAGTAAACTTTCCTTTCTTTTTTTTTGTCAGTCGTGGGGCTTGAACTCTGGGCTTGGGTGCTATCCCTGGTGCTCTTCAGATCAAGGCAAGCGCTCTACCACTTGAGCCACAGCACCACTTCTGGTTTTCTGGTAGTTAATTGGAGATAAGAGTCTCATGAACTTTTCTGCCTGGGCTGGCTTTCAACCGTGATCCTCAGATCTCAGCCTCCTGAGTAGCTAGGATTTCAGGCCTGAGCCACTGGCACCTGGCAAACTTTGCTTTCTTAACAAGTGTCCCAGCAGCACTGGGAGGCGGAGCCCTACACTAGCCTGTGCTTTGCTCACCTTCTAAAGTCCTTGCTGTTCCTCTCATTCTTCTCTGTTCCAAACAGTGGTCAGGGCTATAGGAGATAATTCCTCCAAAACACTTTGAAATTGAAAACTGAATGCTAACTTTTTAAATATCTGAATATTGAGATTTGGGCAGATAGGGTACCTCATTAAAAAAAATCATTTTATGTCAGAAGAATTTTTCCAAGAATATTATACCCTTTGTGATGAGGGAAATTGCTGTCATTGTTTACTTATTGCACTGACAAACAGAATAGTATCAGTACCTTGAAGACTGAAAATTTAACAGAAAGTTGTTATAAAACTCTATGAAGTTAAAAAAAAGTACTCTTGCCTAGTAACTTTCACTGGTTTATTTTAAAACTATGGTCTCTCTGCTTAGGAATATACAGAACTGGACATTGAAGGTCACCTATGTGACCTTCTTTTGGCAAACTGTTTAACCTCCCTGAGCCTCCTCTTCAACTCTCGAAAAAAGATTTTAGGATTCCATAAGGTTTATAAAGCAGATTGTTTTGTATAGTGTGTGCCTTAAGCAGTCTGCTATTTGGCATATAAAAAGTCATAGCAAAAGTCAGCAATTTTTGTTCATTTATATTTATAAAGTAGGATTTCTTCCTTTATGAAATTTATAATTCTAAGGAGAATAAATCAAATGGCATTTCTGTTTATTCTTCCAAAATAATATGGGAACCGATGGTATATTGAAGAGTAAAACAAGTTTAAAAATTGAAAACAACCAGGTACCAGTGACTCATGCATGTATTCCTAACTACTCAAGAGCCTATAGTCTAGAGGATCACAGTTCAAGGTCAGTCTAGGCAGAATATTTAATTCTATTGGAGGCATGACCTACGTTGTAGAGTGCCAGCCTAGCAAGCACAAACCCCTGAGTTCATACCTCATACCACTAAAAAAAAAGAAAATACAGGAAAGAGATATATTACTGTGCAGAGTATATGCTTATAAGCTCTAAATAAACAATGAAGAATGGTTTGATGAGAATGTGCCAGAAAAAGCAGCAGAAACATAAAAACTACATCCTTTTCTTTAAATTTTTAAAACAATTTTACTGTAAAAGTGATGTACAGAGGGGATACAGTTACATAAGTCAGGTAATGAGTACATTTCCTTTATGATCATTTAAAATGATACTTACCAAAATGAACTCCAAGAAATGGAAGCAAGAGTTTTTTTTTTAATTGTACTGTTTGGTTCTTTTTCTTTTTTCCTTTCCTTTTTTCTTTGGTTTATTCCCATCTGTTGATGTTTTTGATTTCTATACCCTTTGTCCTGTTTGTATGTAAGCTTATTTGTTTTGGGGAGGGAAAGAGGAAGCATGGAAATGGTGGGACAAAGGGCAAACCAAGTCAGCAGTAAAACATACTAGATACTATATTGGAAAAGAACTATATAACTTCAGGGGAGGGAAGAGGCCAAATATAAAATAGATGATTTGAGTCTTAAAGACATCTTAGGGTATTTTTTTAATTTTATTTATTTTTTTTATTATGTAATACCAAGGAATTGAACCCAGGACCTCATGCATGCTAAGCAAGCACTCTGCCAGTAAGCCAGATTCCCAGCTCAATCTTTTTTGACAGTGGCTATCCTTGTATGATTTCTGTAGAATTTGAGCACAGCAAATCTTCTCTGACTGATGGGTTATATTCAAAACATCGTTTCATATAGGTTTCTTTCTTTTTTTTTTTTTTGTCGGCTGTGGGGCTTGAACTTGACCAGTGTGCTGTCCCTCAAGCTCTTCAGCTCAAGGCTAGCATTCTACCACTTGAGCCACAACACCACTTTGGTTTTTTGGTGGTTTATTGAAGATAAGAGTCTCACAGACTTTCCTGCCCAGGCTGGTTTTGAACTGCGATCCTTAGATCTCAGCCTTCCAAGTAGCTAGGATTACAGGCGTGAGCCACCGATGCCCAGTTCATACAGGTTTCTAATTACAACTCCCATCCAAACCTGGAAGCAAATCCCTTTCCAGTAATCACGTCAGGTTGTCTTGTAGTCACTGCCTGTGTTTCTCAGCTATGGTTAGGTATTATTTATTGGAGTAAACAAGGATAAACAAGAGGTTAGAGGTTTAGCTCTAGCTTAGTGGAAGAATGCCTGCCTGTCATATGCAAGGCTCTGAGTTCAGTCGCTCACACACACAAAATTGGGTTGGTGAAGGATGGGTATAATCAATGTTTATATCTAATTTGTGCTTACTGAAGATGGAAACTTGTTCTGTAGGAGAATAGAATGTTTAATTGTGTCCTTAATGATTTTCAGGCTGTGCATTCTGAGGAATCTAGGTTTGGCACCCTCCACTTGAATTTGCAGCCTTTGGAAATAAAAAGGATTGGTGTAGTTTTCACACCAGCTGATTATGGAAAAGTTACCTCACTCATACTAATCCGGTAGGTGGGTCCCTGCCATGGAGTCTTACTTCTTCCTAACTTATCTATCTAAATCTCATTCTCTCTTAAGAATAATCTCTGTAGCTAATAGCTGACACTCCTTTTTCAGTCAGTGTGCAGTGACCAGGGCAAGGCAGCGCTGGGCATGATAGGAAGAAGTGATGGCTGAGGAGAGAGGCCTGCAAGTCTGGACAAAGTCCCAAGATCTCCCCCAAAAGGATGTGTCTCTGTTCATGTCTCTAAGAGGGGAAATGCACTTCACTCCAAATTCAGAGCCATCACAGAAGACAGAACACATACGCATGATGCGTGCACATGTGTGCAGGTTTACTTTTCTATCCTTAGCACAGAAAAACAATGGAAACATTGCTGTAGGCATTTCCCATCAATAGTCTTTAAACTTAATACCACTTATTCTCTATAGCCCCAGAGAGAATGGGAGAAGTGCTTCATTGAGCCTATTGGCTTTCTCTTTTCCTTCTTTTAACTGACAGTTATTGTTAAATGATTTAAGTAGCTATTTATGTGTTTCATTATTGTTTGCATATTTAGGTAATCTTTGAGATTTACAGGAAATACAGATCTGTATTGAAGGTCTCTGCTGTTAGTGAAGATCCTAACACAAATGTATCTCTGGTTACATTTTCATTGTATTTTTAAAGCTTTGCTAGTATATCCTTTTGCAAAAAAAATTCCTACTTGAGACATCCTTAAATATGAAAGAGTTTGTGCTTCTGCAACTGAGCATTACTCAGAAGAAAATGCTCCGAAGTAAATTTTTGAAGCATTTGCTTTGAAGTATTTTAGTTAAGACTTTCTGGTGCCCTGTTGACTTCAATGTGTGATTTAAAAACTTTTTTACTGAAGAACTAAGGACAAAGAAAGTGTAGAGAAAAGCTTTATTAGTCAGTCCAGGTCTCAGAAAGTACATTTTTAACATAAATTTGGTTTCTGTTTATCCATACAGATTTTTTTTTCCTTTTGGTGGGTCGTGGGGCTTAAACTCTGGGCCTAAGTGCTGTCCCTGAGCTCTTCAGCTCAAGGCAAATGCTTAAGCCAGAGCGCCACTTCTGGTTTTCTGGTGGTTAATTGGAGATAAGAGTCTCACAGACTTTTCTGCCTGGGCTAGCTTCGAACCAGGATTCTCAGATCTCAACCTTCTGAGTAGCTAGGATTACAGGCATCAGCCACTGGCTCCTGGCTTCAATACAGAATCTTCTCAGTTTTTTTCCTGTAAATCAGTCATCTAATGCTTATCAGGTAAATGCTTTTAAGAGGTTAAAGATTCCTAATCCTTTAAAAAAAAGTTGCTCTGTAGCATGAGCTCTCCGTTCAGTGTGTGTCACTAAGCATCGTTTCCACTTAAGTATTTCACCCCAGAAATCCTGGACTCAACTTGTGAAGAGGCAAACATTAGTCTGAACCATTGTTGTCAGTAAGAGTGTGACTCCAAGTATGCTATTCCTCGAGTGATATTTAACATCTTTAATTCCAAAGAAAAAGTATTTTTTATTTCTATTATCACCCCTAGTGTGCAATTCTTACAAGCACAAGTTACTATGAAAATCTTTTAATTTACCTGGTAAACAACCATTTTGTCCAAAATTGTGTTTGTGTTTGCCAATTTATTTCTTCAGTTCTTTTTCTTGCATATCAGATCCATCCCAGTACTTGCTTTAGAAAAATCTATGAATTCCATTTGTGACCTGTAGTATTAGAAAATGATTGTAGCTGCTCATGCATTTTTGCTGTTGTCAGCTTATATGGGCCCTGGACATACTTTTAGTTTGTGAGATGCAGGAAATATCATGCTCTTTAAATTGATTATATTTTTAACTTCAAAAATAACTTTTGCTGTCCGAGAAAATTTAAATGTAAGTACATTTCAGTTCAGTGTATTTTGTGTCTCTGTGATAATGCCTTTTCGCTTCTGTCTTGGTTTACTGTAGGAATAATTTGACTGGTATTGACATGATTGGTGTGGAAGGGCTTGGAGCAAGAGAGTTACTGAAAGTAGGCGGAAGACTTCCTGGCACAGGAGGTTCACTTCGATTTAAGGTGCCCGAGTCTACGCTGATGGACTGCCGTCGACGTGAGTTCGCATGTGTGCATGCTGACAGGGCAACTTTGGTATTGAAAACCAAGAACAAAAGGATTCTGTAGGAAGATTCTTTTCAAAAACTTACAGTAAATTCATTGTACTGATTCAAATAATTCAATCAGGTAAACATTTGAACCTATGTAGGCTGGTCCTCTGGATTGGAATGATAGCTTTAGATATTTAATTCAACTTAAAAAATAAATACAGAAGACGGGCTGGGAAGGTGGCTCAGTGGTTAGAGCGCTTGCCTTGCATGCCTGAGGCCCTGGGTTCGATTCCTCAGCACCACAGAAGCAAAAAGAAAAAAAGCTGGAAGTGGCACTCTGGCTCAAGTGGTAGAGCTCTAGCCTTGAGCTGAAGAGCTGAGGGACAGCACCCAGGCCCAGAGTTCAGGCCCCACGACCGGACCCAAAAATAAATACAGACATACAGAAGGGGAAAAAAGAAAGGACAATTGCTCTCCTTCCAATTACATTTGAACAGTATAGCGTAAAATACTTGCAATAAATATACAAAGTAAGTGATTTGGTTACCATTCATCCAAAGGAGGAGTATCACACCGAGGTGACAAATATAAGAGTAAAGTATTGCTAACCAATACTGCTTTTTGTGGTGATAGAAATATTCTTTATATATGTCTCTGGTTGTATGGAAAGGAAAGCCAGCTTAGATTCCGTTTTCTTTGTGTGTACTCAGTGTCATTCAATATAGTAGTCCCTTGCTACATGCAGCTAGTGTGTTCTTTTTTTTTTTTTTTTTTGTCCGTCGTGGGGCTTGAACTCTGGGCCTGAGCGCTGTCCCTCAGCTCTTCGGCTCAAGGCTAGCGCTCTACCACTTGAGCCACAGTGCCACTTCTGGTTTTCTGGTGGTTTATTGGAGATAAGAATTTCACAGACTTTTCCTGGGCTGGCTTTCCAGCCCGGACTGGCTTTGAACCGCAATCCTCAGATCTCAGCCTCCTGAGTAGCTAGGATTACAGGAGCCACCGGTATCCGGCTTGCTAGTGTGTTCTTAACATAGAGATGTTTCCTTGATGAAATCTATTTTTTTCTTTTTGTATATATTTATTTACTTTCTAAATTTAATTTTTTTGTCAAAGTGATGTATAGAGGGTGACACTTACATATGTAAAGAGTATATTTCTTGTTGAACATTGTTTTTCTTGTGTGTGTGTGTGTTGAACAGTATTTATCAAGTAACAGGCCATCCAAACTCAAAAATTTCTGAAGTGTTTTACAAAAAAGCATTCAGAGTAGAATTTCTGCCATCAGTAACTTAAGCTATTCCAAACAAGATTTTTTTTTATCTTTAAGTAGTTGTACAAGGAAGGTCCCATTCTACAAACAGTATATGAGTACACAGTGTCTGACAGCATTGTCACCCATCTCTCCTAACCCATCCCTTCTCTCACTTTTTTTCTTTGTGATTAGGTGATTACATAAATTTCACATATTTCACAGTATTGTGGAATAGTGATACTTTTTAGTTAAAGTCACAAACACATTTTAACCTTCACAAGGCAAATTGTCATTATCATGGTCTATGCAGTTTGTGAATACAAGTTAATGAAATCTATTTTTAAATTTGTTTAAATAGCCATGTGTGTTTAATGGCTGTTCTATCAGACAATGCTGATTTAGAAATATACTGAGCTCAGTAGCAAATGACATGCTTTGCATGTTTGAAGCCATATGTCTCATCTTCATATCTCTAAAAAAATTGGTATCTTGATCTAGAGTTTCCAAATTATGTATTCATTTAAATTAAATGTTTTAAATAATTTAATTTGTTTGAAGAACTTACTCAAGAAGTAAAAAAATCAATGAGTAGAGATAAAACTTTCGTTTTTTGGTAAATTTTATCTTGTTTTCCTCTTTAAAAATTCATGTAAAGAGTAAAGTCATTTTTAGTATAGAAATATGTTTTTGTAGAGAAAACTAGTTGATGAAACTGCTACATGGTTTGTAGCACTATTTTAATGCCTAACTGGATTTATTTAATTTTTTTAATTTTAGAAAACTGTGCTTTACTATGAGCCTGACTTTGAAAAGATTAAACAATTTTGCATTCAAAATTCTTCAGTAATTTAGAATTGGCTTTGATAAATTTAGGACTCGTATAAAAAGTATAGAAGCAGCCAAATATTAGTCCTTATATGTAAGAGACTGAACTACATGTTTATATTTTAAAATTACTGTAATTCTTTTTCAGACTTCTAAATAAAATATGCACTCATTTATTTGCAAGGATTTAGTTATTAGTTTAATAATTGTGACTTTGAACTGTTTAATAACGATGAATTTACAGGAAAGCAAATACAGGTGTTTGGAAGTGATTCCTGATTTAGTGTGAGTGACAAACTCAGGGTCTCAGAGAACATGATAACTACTGGTAAATCCAAACTGTTGGGCTCCGAAAACAATACTTTTGCCTCTTCTGAGTAAAATACTTAGGCAGAACACTTAGGAAGAATCTTAACTGTTTAAGTGTTTAAAGTAAGTTGCAGTGTATATACACTAAATGTCACCTTTTGTCTCAATAGAACTGAAAGACAGCAAGCAGATTTTATCTATTACAAAGAACTTTAAAGTGGAGAACATTGGCCCTCTTCCTATCACTGTGTCATCATTGAAAATCAGTGGATATAATTGCCAGGGCTATGGATTTGAAGTGCTAGACTGTCATCAGTTTTCCTTGAGTCCAAATACATCCCGTGACATTAGCATTGTGTAAGTACTGGTTTTCATTGCATTTCAGTTTTGTGATACATATAACAATCAGGATAAAACTTTTTTTCCTAAGACATCCTAGGTTTTTTTTGTTTTGTAGAAGGAAGAAATTTTGATGCTATTAGGTTCTTTGTATATAAATTTAAAGCCAGTGAAAATTTGTAAACTTGAACCATTTGTTTCCAGGTTTACTCCAGACTTTACCTCTTCCTGGGTCATCCGTGAGCTGACACTGGTCACTGCAGCCAACCTGGAATTCCACTTCACTCTCAACGTGACCCTACCCCATCACCTGTTGCCCCTATGTGCAGATGTGGTTCCAGGGCCCAGCTGGGAGGAGTCCTTTTGGAGGCTTACAGTCTTCTTTGTCAGGTAACCCAACATCATCTTCATTCTTCTTCCCCTGTTGAGTAGTGGCATCTTGCTAGAAAGTTGTATGAAATACAAATTACCTGAATAAGGTCAGAGCAGAGGAATTCAGTGGGGTTTTTAATTGCCTTGAGAACTCTGCCTTACGTGAGCCAGACAAGGTTGTAACTAGTAAGCATTAAGATCATAAGGCACTAACTGTAAGTCAAAGGACCTAGAAGTGTCACAGACTTCTGTGCTCTATGGTTTATTGGCAGTCTCAGTGGAAGTGCTTATTAATTCCGTGCAGTAACAGTTTAAAAGTATAAGACCAAAATGGCCTTTTAAAAGTCAAATTGTAATGTCAGCCTAATGAGTGCTTTTATTTTTAATCTTTAGGAAACATCTGAAATTTTGGTTTCTTGAGATGACCTGTGCCTAATATTTCCCAGGCTCAAAGAACCCTCTTGCCTCAGCCTTATGAATGCTGCTGTGCCAGGCATATGTAGTACCACTTGTAGCTCACAGCTAATCTTTTAATGTTATTTTGAACCATGCAGTAATGAATGTCATTGCTTTCTTCCTCAGTTTGTCTCTGTTGGGCGTGATTTTAATAGCCTTCCAGCAAGCACAGTACATTCTTATGGAGTTCATGAAAACAAGACAGAGGCAGCATGCTAACTCAGCTTCACAGCAGAGCAGCAGTCCAATGGATGTAATCAGCTCCCATTCCCACAAGTATGAATTTGTGTGTGTCTACATGTGATGTACACGTGTGATCTCTTGCCTTTGATCCCCTCCTCATTTCTGATTTTAAGAAAAATTTCCAAATTTTTTTTATAAAATTTTCTTTACTACATTATTGTGTGAACATTTGTGATACAGTCTTCACTTAAGGGCTTAGTTCATTAGTCTTGTTATTGGCAGAAAATTCAGGGAGTTTAAAGATTACTACCTCCCTCTCATGATATAGAAACAGAGTAGAGTTTAATTCAGTTTGCCTATGGTAAATGGTTCTTTTTTTCTTCAATTCAGAAGCAATTGCAAGAACTTTCTCGACACATACAGCCCTTCTGACAAAGGCAGAGGGAAAAGCTGCCTTCCTGTGAGCACACCGCAGAACAGGAGCCAGAATGCAGCCAAGCGGAGCCCTGCCACCTGTGGCCATTCTCAGAAAAAGCACAAGTGCTCTGTCTATTACAGCAAACACAAAACCAGTACCACCACAGCCATTAGTGCCAACACTACTACTGAGGAAAAGCAGACTTTGACCCTGGGCACACCCCTGTCTGCTGCTAAGGAGGACACTTGCACCAATGTGGGTGAGAACTGGGTCAACCTTAAGTATGCAAATGGCATGAACATCAGTATGCAGAAGAATCTGACTCTGACCAGAAACTTATTGAATAAAGAGGAAAGCACACTTAAAGACACAATTATTGTCAATAACACTTCTTCAGAATGTAGTATGAAGGAGGGAATGCAGACATGTATGTTTCCTAAGGAAACTGACATTAAAACAGAGAACGTGGATGAGTTCAAGGAACAAGAGCTCTGTCCACTAAAAAACTCTAAGAAGCTACTTGAAAATCCTTTGCCAAGAACCTCACCTCAGTATCACCAGTCAGACTTGCCAGAAGTTTCCAGGAAACATAATGGTAATGTTTTCTCCTTGATGAGTCTTTGCTCTTTGTCCCTGTCTATTCTGAATGGGGTTTGTTCTTACCTATGACCTTCTGTTTTAATTGTGGGTGCTGAGTTCTTTAACTCATGCAGTTTTCACAAAGGTCTGTAAATGTTGAAATGTGACTTGAAGTGCAGTTTTGAGACAATGCACCAAGCTTGAAGAATAGTACGGCTAAGAAGTTTATCAGAAGGTAAGTTGAGAGGGATGCAAGTTTATTTCATTGTTAGGATATGGACATCTTTCTCTGAGTATTTGTTGTCAGCTTTTCAGATTATTTGCAGAAATTAACCAGACCTACTTTGTTTGTGACTGGACAGAACTTCACCAACTTCTGTTCAGCTGCCAGCAGTTCATGTTTCCTGGCCTGGCTTTTTTAATAGCTTCCCTCAGTTAAAAGAAGGCAGATGTTCTCATGCAGCAAAAGCAGTTAATGGGAACACTAGTAAAAACAGACTAGGAAGACTGTTTACAGAGAATACTAGTGGTATTCTTTAGCTGATCCCTTTGGCCTCTGGCAGAAGGGCCTGTGCTGCTTCTCCTTTACTTCCATATGATCGTATGAATGTGCATGTTCCTATACCTGTTGGAAAAACCTTTGTTGCTTCATGTTTCTTCAGTGAAATACCTGAAATCTTAAACTTACGAGGTTTATTTGGCTCATAGTGCTCAACAAGGAGTACAAAGTTAGAGCCATTAGCACATACCCTGGAACATTTCTTCTCACATAGTGACATCTGGGCAGGCACGACAAGGGAGAAATGCCTTAGAATAGAGAAAACAGTTCTTTTAAAAGATGGGGTTAGGTGCAAAGTTCTGATGGGTTAAGAATATCATTCCAGACACTCAAAAGACTGCCCTCCTTGAGTCCTTGTTGAGAAACAGAAGTTTTCTGATAACAAAGCAACTTTTATTCCTCTGCTATACCTTTCCACCTGCCTGCTTCTGAGAGGCATATCAGAAGTTTGGTATATCAGAAGTTAAAATGACAGAAGTGAAGGCCATGTTCATAGTCTCAGGGCTGCTTTCCCACATTTGTGTCTGGGCATCAACTTGTCAAACAACTGTAAACAGCTAAGTTTTCCTAACATCTGTTACATGTTCCAGAACCTCATGATCATTTCATGAGGGAAGGGCTTTTAAAAAGTTAATGTAAATGACTGGACACCAATGGCTCATGCCTGTAATCCTAGCTACTTAGGAGGCTGAGAGCTAAGGATCACAATTCAAACACAGCCTGGGCAGGAAAGGCCATGAAAAACTCTTATCTCCAATAAAAACACCAGAAAAAAACTGAAAGTGGCACTGTGGCTCAAGTGGTAGAGTGCTCACCTTGAGCTGAAGAGCTGAGGAACAGCACCCAGGCCCATGACCAACCGACCCTCCCCACCCCCCACAAAAAAAAAAAAAAAGAAAAAAAGTTAATGTTAATGATCTTTTGAAATAAATTTTTTGACAAGTATTTATGGATTTCATTTTAACTATGATCTAAATAATAGAAATTTGTAATTGCTAATTTTTTGGGTGTGTGTGTGTCAGTCATGGGGCTTGAACTCTGGGCCTGGATACTGTCCCTCAGTTCTTCAGCTCAAGATGAGTGCTCTACCACTTGAGTCACAGCGCCTCTTCTGGTTTTCTGGTGGTTTGTTAGAGATAAGAGTCTAATGGACTTTCCTGCCCAGGCTGGCTTTGAACAATGATCCTCAGATCTCAGCCTCCTAGGTAGCTAGGATTATAGGCATGAGCCACTGGTACCTGGCTAATTACTAAATTTTTGATCTCAGAACTACCAAGGAGAAATAGCAGATTATTTTGTGTTTTTATTTTACTTACAGTAATATATAAAAGGTAATAAACTTTTACCCCAGAGTTTTAACTGAGGGCCTTGAATTTGCTCAGCTTGATGATCTAAATAAAAATGTGTGATTATAATGAAATACAATCATTTTCAACCTCAGAACTACAGAAGAGAAATAACTATTATTATTTTACTTACAATTGTAAAGAATGTAATAACCAGGGTTTAAATGAGGGCCTTGAACTTGCTCAGCTTGTTTGTAAGGCAGTGCTTTACTATATGAGTCACATCTCCACCTCTGCTTTTTGCTGATTATTTTGGAAATGGAGTATCTTGGATTTTCCTGCTTGTTCTGGCTTCAACCTGAAATCCTTCAGGTCTCAAGCTCCTAAGTAGCGAGGATTACAGGAGTGAGCCACTGGAGCTCAGCTGCACTTTTAATAGTATGTTAAACCTTGAAATTAATAGCACCTCCAACTTTCTGAAATACCTGTATTTGCAGAAATTCAAAAACAAGTTCTTGCTTACTTATAGATGCTAATAATTTGAAATGAGGATTTAATGGTTTATTCAAAATATACCAGATGATTCAATTTTAGACAGCAACGGCCAGGTGCTAGTGTCTTAGGCCTGTAATCCTAGTTATTTAGGAGGCTGAGAATCATGGTTCAAAGCCAGACCAGGTAGGAAAACCCATGAGAACTCTTATCTCCAATTAACCACTGAAAAGCCAGAAGTGGATCTGTGGCTCAATTGGTAGAGCACTATCCTTGAGCAGAAAAGCTCAGCAACAATGCCCAGGCCCTGGGCGCAAGAAAGAAAAAAAAAATTTAGACAACAAAACTTTTAACTGGATATTAGTGAGTTTTCTTGATCTTTGTTCTTATTTTCTTGAATTATAACTGCTGTTTAATGTCAAGGTGTTGTACAGAGGGATTACAGTTACATGAGTAAGGCAGTGAGTACATTTCTTCTCAAACATTGTTACCCCCTCTCATTTTATAACTACTTTTGAGATGCACAGATTTTTAAAAATCTGTGGAGATAAATGTACATGGTAAGATCTTCACTGCTATCAAGGCAACAAACCTGTCCATATCTCAGCCTGTCTCAGTGATCACTCCTGTTCCTGCCCCCTTTATTGTTGTTGCTTTTTTTCTTGTTTTTGTTTTGAAATGAGGACTGGCCCCTAAGTTGGTCCCTTATAATAATATAACAATTCCCCCCCCCCCCTCCCCCAGTCCTGGGGTTAACAGGCATGCTCCACCATGCCTTGCTCCTCCATTTCTTCTTTAAGTGTGGCATAAACACTCTTACTCTGTGAAGTCATGGGAAAGTTGCACGCTGAATAGGTTTACGTGGATTGATTCTTTTTATATATATGTATTTTTTATTGTAAAAATACTGTACTTGAGGGGGTTACAGCTACATGAGTAAGGTAATGAGTACATCTCCTATCGAGCAGTTACCCCTCCTTTGTTTTTCCCCTACCATCCCTTCCTCCTCCCTCCCAAACTACCCCGCCCCCTCCCCCAAGTTGTAAAGTTGGTTTTCAACATAGTGTCTTGTAATCTCATTTTACAATGGGTCAACCTGTATCCTTATTTCAGCATTTTGTGATGCCTTTTTTAAATGAAGCATACATACAGTATTTTTTATATTCTTTCTTTAATTTTTTTTTATTGTGAAAATACTGTACAGGGGGGTTGCAATTACATGGGCAAGATAATGAATACATTTCTTTCTTTTTTGGGGGGGGGGGGAGGTCCGGTCGTGGGGCCTGAACTCTGGGCCTGGGCGCTGTCCCTCAGCTCTTCAGCTCAAGGCTAGCAATCTATCACTTGAGCCACAGCCTCACTTTCCGGCTTTTTTCTTTTTGCTTATGTGGTGCTGAGGAATCGAACCCAGGGCTTCATGCATGCAAGGCAAGTGCTCTACTACTGAGCCACCTTCCCAGCAATGAGTACATTTCTTATCAAGCATTGTAGCCTCCTCCTTTGTTTCCCCTTCCCAGCCCTTCCCATCCTCCCCCCAGTATTTTTATATTCTTAAATATTCTTACAGTAAAATTTCTTAAAGAATTATCAATGAACTTGTAATTGGTATTCTTTTTTGTTATTTGTCCTGATAAAGGATTATAGATGGCTCTTTCTTCCTTCCCCCTTCTCCAGGAGGCACTAGTAATGTTCTAGGAGCCAGCCTGCCTTACTGCTTTTTTATTTAAGGTGGTTTAGTACTGGCTATTAAATTCAGGTCCTTCTTTAGAACTGTTGATAGCTAATAGCTTTGATGTTTTATTTTTGACCTAAAAAGAAAACTTTAGGAACTTCCTTTGCCCATGAACTAAAATGGTAGGAAAGTCAAGGGCACATCCTTTTTTAATTCTTACCCATATTTGTCTCATACTTACAGATTTCAGAGTTCAGAGTAGTATCCTTATTCTGATCAGTTTTTCTGCTACAGAGCCCTTTCTGCCTGCCTTTGGGCAGTTTCCCTTACTCATTCACTGTTGGATATTTTCTTTTGTGGACGTCTGACATCTAGTTTGTCTTGTAGAGGAATTACATTTCTAAAATGACTTAATTTTGACAACTTGTGAAACAGTGGGGTGTGGTTGGGTGTTAACTCAGAAAAGGTCAGGTTAAAGAGGATCTGAAAGCCACATCCTTCAGGCGACCTCAACCACATTCTATCATAAATCAGTGATTGGTTTTTATGTCTGGGTAAAATTCTGTTGCATGCATTCATTATCAAAGGACATGTTACATAACTTAAAGATCTTAATTGGCTTGGAGACACTATTCCTCTAGATAAGCCTTTCTCGGTGACCTTTCTCTTCTGTCACAGACAAAGGCATAGAAGTATTCCATGATGTTTTACTTTTTGTAGTGAATCTAATCCAGCCACAGATTGATTTTCTGTGTTTATCTTGTATTCATCTTGGAGGTATAACCTTAATTTTGTGATAGGACCTTTCTTTTAAAGTATAAGCCCTGGTGTGCTGTAGTTGTACTTAAGCCTGCCCCACATCACACAGCATGTGTCCTACCTGCTTGGCTCAACAGTTATGTGATGTACAGAGGGGTTAACAGATATATAAGGTAAAGAGTATCTTTCTTTTTGGGCCATGTCACCCCTTCCCTCACTGTCTCCCAAAGTTACGTGATATTTATATAACGCCTCAGTTTACAGACTAAAAGTATGCCTAACTTGTGTTATTTGGAAAAAGAATGTGTACCTTGCTTTGTGTGAGGTTCATTTGTGTGTTTCATTAACAGAGGCGACTTGACTGCTCCTTTCCTTCTGAGATTGGAGAGCTCTGCTAGCCCAAGTGTCCTGTCTGGTCAGACCAGGGCGTCTAACTACTCTGCCTGACACACTTGTGCCAGGCCAGCTAAGCTTTCCCCAGGGCCTCCCACACATGCTCTCCCACTTGAGCCACAACCCTATTGTTTGCACTTTTTTTTTAAATGGGATCTCCCCAACTTTGCCTGGATTTGCCTTGAACTTGTGATTCTTATGCCTCAGCCTTTCAAGTAACTGAGATTATAGATTCAATACCTATGGTATTGAAATGCTTTCTGTTTGGGATTAGAAAATTGGCGCTGAAGTTGTTTTGCCTTTATTGTGAAGCTGTTAACTCACAAAAAGTATGTAAGAAAGTTGGTTGGATTGTGTGGCTCGGATAGAGCACTTACCTCCATGTGCAAAGGCCCTGGGTTTCATCTTCACCTAATTTTCCACACCTTAACTGACAAAATGGGGAAAACATCCAAAAGGTTCCCAGCAACCCTCCTTGTACACGTCCATTCCTCAGCCTGCACCCTCACACCACAGGGAAGAGCCTTTGTGACACAGCTTGGGTGTCCTTTGGTGGAGATACTGTTCCCGAGTGTCTCTGCTTGGTGGTATTGACATGGCTGTCAGGCTGGCAGCCGGGAAGTTGCTGCTATGTCCTGATCTGAGTAAAGAAACAGGCTCTGTCACCTTAAGAGATTTATCACTCTGATTATGCGACTCATTAGTGGCAGAGCCATGACTAGAACCCAAGCCTTTACCTTTTTTTCTCCTTACCCTACCTTTAAGAAAATGTGAAAGTATGCATAATACAAAATTTACCATTTTAACTACTTTTAATTGTAAAGATTGGGTGTCTTTAAGTATGTTGATACTGGTATGTGACTCTTGCCACTAAATTTTCAGGACTTTTTCATCATCCCAAACAATAATTCTCAACTAGCAGGAGAAGGGGAAGTATGTATTTATTACTGTACACAGAATAAATAGTCCAATTCACCGTCCATCTCTTTGAATATGAGTATCCTAGAATACCAACACAAGTGCAGTCAAAATGCCCTTTTGTGTGCGTTCTGTTTTACTTTGTATAATGTGTTCATGGTTCATCCATGTTGTAGCTTATATGAGAGTGCAGTTCTGTACTGTAATTGATATTTGTGTTATGAATAATGGTGTCCTGTTGTGTGCATATACTGCATTTTGTTTTTCCACTCACCTGTCAGTGGACATTTGAGTAGTTTTCTCCCCTTTGCTGTTCCAAGTAATGATGCTCCCATGAACATTGGTATGTCCCACCCCACTACCTGCCATCTTTTAAAATTGTAGAACTCTTGCTTTGAGTATATTTTTACTTGTAAACAAAGCCAAGGATGTCAAAAACATCTCATACCTAAATCTCATTAAATGGGATTGTTTAGTATAGCAAAGAAGGTTTAACTATAGGAATAGGAATGGAAAAAAATACCTAGAAATTGAATTGTTTTTATTTATTCAAGGGACTAACCAGCAAGTGCCTGTCAAGAATGAAGTAGACACTTGTGAAACTTTGAAAAAACTTGATACAAAGTCTCCTTCAGAAAAGAAGATCTACAAAGTACCTAAAGAAGATGTGTGTTCTGAGAAACAGGATATACCTTCAGTTGAGGTCTGTATTCCTTCTTTTTTCCTATTAAAAACAGAGTAGTATAGCAGCTATTGAACCAAGGGTACTCTTAACCTCAATGCATTTGAATACAGGCTGATGGTTGTGTGTTTGGAACATTGATTTTGAGAGGAGTAAATAGCATATTTTCCACTTGAGTTTCACAAAGATGGGCAGATTGCTCCTATGTAGAAGGAACATAGTTTGGCTAGTGCTTGAATGAGTGAGTGTGTGAACAAGGTCATTTGGGAAAATCAACCTGTGTTCTGGAAGTGGTGCAGAGGAAAGGAAGTGGACACCAGCTCTCTACTGTTACTCTGCCTGGGAACATAATGACATCAATACCTGCATTTGTGTGGCAGTGAGATGATGGTCAAGAAAGATGAGCGACATTTTAGAATCAAAGCCATTGAGATTTAATACTTCACTCAAAAAGAGTTTTTTTTCTTTTCTTCTTCTTCTTCTTCTTTTTTTTGGTCAGTTGTGGGGCTTGGATTCAGGGGCTGGGCGCTGTCCCTGAACTCTTTTCACTCAAGGCTAGTACTCTACCACTTTGAGCCACAACCCCACTTCCAGTTTTCTGGTGGTTAAATGGAGATAAGTCTCATGGGCATTTTTGCCCATTCTGGCTTCAAACCATGATCCTCAGATCTCAGCCTCCTGAATAGCTAGAATTATAGGCATGAGCAACTGGTACCCAGCAGATTGGTATTTTTTTTTTAAATAATCATTTGCAAATGATAACTTCAAGGTCCAAAGCCTGGTGACTTAGAAGGTGGGGGGTAGCAGGTTCATTTTCATAGCTTTCAAAGCAATGTTGGATCATAGTTAAAAGCATGGGCCAGCCAGATGCTGGTGATTCATACCTGTAATGTGAAGCTAGCTCTAGCAGGACAGTCTATGAGACTCTTTATCTCCAATAAACTACCAAAAAAGCCAGAAGTGGAGCTGATTCTCAAATGGTAGAGTTCTAACTTTGAGCAAAAAGAAGCTCAGGGACAACACCAGGTCCTCAGTTAAAGCCCTAGAACCACCACCACAAAAAAAACAACAACAACAACAACATGAAACATAGCCAGAGCTCTAGATCATCATTTACTCCTTTCATACTGCGTTTCCTCATGTACAATGAAGGTGATAATGCTATACCCACCTTGCAGGCTTTGGCTGAGTAAATGAGCTACTGGGGAAGCAGTAAGTACAAAAGAAAAACAATGACAAAGCTGTTGCCATGACATCAGAGAAGAGAGATAGGAAATAGAGGGTCTGAGGAGGTCGGCACTATAGCTCTATAGGAATCAGCCCTGAAGCTTGAGTAGGAGGTTTTCCCTGTGGAGGTTGATCCGAAGGTAGCCTGGTATTCTCTATAGCTTTATAGCAGGAAGCCAGGTCTTGAGTGTGGATGTTGGGGTGGCATTGGAGCTACAGCGGGTAGTAAGGAACAAACAAGCCCAATATGAAGTGGAGCTTCCTTTTCTAGACCGAAATCATGTCTCTGTGTTTGGGATGGGAGGAAAAGAATGAAGACAGGAGTTGAGCCTGATCTGCTTTTGCCTTGGGTTTTGGAGACTCGGCCTACCGCCTACAATACAGAAGCAGTCATACAGGGAGATGTTGGAGCCGATAACTCTTAACTCTAAGATATCCTGAGAAACACCGCTGATGCTATGTTGGCACTCTTGCCACTGTGTGTGTGTGTGTGTGTGTCTGTCTGTCTGTCTGTCTGTGTCTGTCTGTCTGTTCCCATCACAAGCTGTGTCCCAGCCCCAGAGTCTGCCCTGGCTCTCTGGGCCAGACTCTTTATCTGTGCTTTTTCTTATGACAGTTTTCTTAATATGTTAAAGACATGTTCTTCCTTACGTGTCTTCATTACTAGATTCTGACTGTCGAGCATGGGTATTACCATTTATCCCTAACTTTGGCAGTCAGTCCTCTTGCAGCGGGTCTTTGAGCCTGTTGTCATAGCCATTGACACCTAATGATGGCAGTGGGCTAGTAGGAAGAATGCCAGCCTGAGAAGTTCAGGGTATACAGACTGGACTTGTAGTAGCCAGCTATGTCATCCAAGGTGATCTCTCCTAATACAGTGTTGTGAGCTGCCCTTTTCATTTCTTTGCTGTTTTCTGTGACTCTCGCCCTTCTGTAGAACTGTTCTCAAGGTCCCACAAGTGTACTTTCCACTTCTTTGTTAACTTTGGAGAAAATTATTCTCAGTAAACACATTCCCAAGTGTAGTACTCAGTGTTTGCTTAGGGCCTAACTTTGCAGCTTAGAAAACTATAAATCCGTAGTACACAGTACTCTAGATTGTCAAGAAAGATTGAAGCCCAGGTTTGAAAACCATACCTAAAATTTAACCCTAGCTCTGACCTATTTTCCTAAGAAAATAATTCATGATTATTACAGAAACATAAAAAAGAAAAAATCCATTCAAAACAAAGTACTTCTAAAATTTTTGGTACTTTCATAAATAACTCTGTTACGATACCATGTTAAGGTGAGGAAATACAATTAAAAGAACCAACTACGAAAGCTTTTATGGTACACTGCTGGATTGCTTTCCAGGCTTTGTTCTCAGCATCTCTAGTTTGCAAAACCTTTGTATGGGAGATGAGGGCTCTGTGAATTGAACTGGGGCTCATGCACGTTAATAAGCACATGCTGCACTACTGAGCTGCACTCAGAGCTCTTGTTAGCAAAATCTCGGTCTGTGTAATATGTAAGTAATCATGTTTGGTATTTTGGGGGTATCTTTGGGTTTTTTTGTTCTGGTATTCTGTATTGAGCCATGGCCACCTTCAGCCCTGAACAATTGTTTTGGTTGTCATTTCAATTTGCATTTTATGTAGAGAAAAAGCACTTTATTCTGTTTTTTATAAAATTCTGAAAGTAAAATTTTAAATTTAATCCATACAAAATTCTGTCTGGGCCAGGGTGGTAGGGGCTACAAAATTCTACCAGTGAAAAGAATGTGTATAAATTAAGTAAATGTCCAGCCAGAGGCAGACACTACTACAATATCCTGCTCCTCTAGCCTAGTATTTGTAAAAATAAACATGCACTATAAACATGTTAGGTATCCTAAATCCAAAATGGAAAGGTGAGATTCAAGTTAGCCTATTAATTTTTTGTTGTTGGTGGTGGTGGTGGTCGTGGGACTTGAACTCTGGCCTTGGGAGCTGTCCCTGAGCTCTTCAGCTCAAGGTGAACACTCTACCACTTGAGCCACAGCACCACTTCCAGTTTTCTGGTGGTTTATTGGAGATAAGAGTCTCATGGATTTTCCTGCCTAGGCTGGCTTTGAACCACAATCCTCAGGTCTCAGCCTCCTGAGTAGCTAGGATTACAAGCGTGAGCCACCTGTGCTCAGCTTAATTTGTCTCTCTCTCTTTTTTTTTAGTTGTGTTGTTCACTTTTATCAGTGTCTGGTGAGCTCCATTGCTACACTTCTCACCCTTTTCCCATTGAGTGCTGTGCCCTCCCTTCTACCCTACTGAAGGGGTGTGTGTGTGTGTGTGTGTGTGTGTGTGTGTGTGTGTGTGTGTGTGTGTGTGTGTGTGTGTGTGTGTGTGTGTGTGTGTGTGTGTGTGTGTGTGTGTGTGTGTGTGTGTGTGTGATTTTCCTTTTCTATTTTGTGAATCATTATTTCATATTCTTTGCTTACTTTTCTATTGAATGTTAATAGTTGTTTTTGTTTTTTTTTGGTGGTTGTGGGGCTTGAACTCTGGGCCTGGGCACTTGTCCCTCAGCTCTTCAGCTCAAGGCGAGCGCTCTACCACTTGAGCTACAGCACCACTTCCGGTTTTCTAGTGGTTTATTGGAGATAGGAGTCTCACGGTCTCTCCTGCCTGGGCTGGCTTTGAACCGTGATCCTCAGATCTCAGCCTCCTGAGTAGCTAGGATTACAGGCGTGAGCCACCGATGCCCGGCTTTAATAGTTTTTTTATTACTAAAACAGTATATTAAGGTACTGTATCAAATATTGTGTATCAGATTTTTTTTTTCCTTTTCCCTTGTCTATTTTTACCTCACTACCACAGATTTAAGAATTACTTTATACAGCTGATCTGTGTTTTCTTTTTGGTTTCTCTGTTTTGCTTTTATTAACACCCAGAATCTTTTTTTTTTTTTTTTTTTGGGTCCGGTCATGTGGCCTGAACTCTGGGCCTGGGCGCTGTCCCTCAGCTCTTCAGCTCAAGGCTAGCGCTCTTACCACTTGAGCCACAGCGCCACTTCCAGCTTTTTTTTTATTTTTGCTTATGTGGTGCTGAGGAATCAAACCCAGGGCCTCATGCATGTAAGGCAAGCGCTTTACCACTGAGCCACCTTCCCAGCCCATCACCCACAATCTTTTTTCACTCCTGATATCCATCAATTGTCACCTTTATCAGGAAGATCAAAGAATTTAATTAGTTCACATGGTTCAGTGATGATGAGAATGATAGCTAAGACTATTATAAACTGCTCACTAGGTGCCAAGTAATTTAACTCTTTGAAGAATTTAGTAAACTGATTCAGAGAAGCTAAGAGACCTGCTCAAATTGACATAGCATACAGCATTTGAGAACTGGCCTGGTGACAGTGATCTTAATTGTGACTGTATGGCTCTTTCTCGTTCTGGTGAGACTACCAGAAGGCACAGTCAGCTCCTGCCTTTTTCTCTTCTGCACATTTCTAAGCAGGTTTGTTAGTCTGGATCTCCGGTGTGCTTTCCCCTCTGTTCTGTCCACAGTAGACATTGAGGACTGTTCTCACTCAGGGAGATGCCTTTCTCACTACCTACTGTTTTGAGTAGCACTCACCTAAAAAGAAAAAGGCTCTGCATTTTCTGTCTTCTTTTTTTTAATTAATTAATTTTTTTTATTGTGAGAATACCGTACAGAGGAGTTAAAATTACATGGGCAAGATAACGAGTACATTTCTTCTTATCAAGCATTGTTTGTTGCCTCCTCTTTCTTTCCCCTTCCCATCCCTTCCCATACTCCCCCTCCTCCCCCCACCTGATCCTCTCCTCCCCCCACCTTTTATTTTCATGTCAGTAACCCTTGTGTTGTCCCCTGGTGGGTGGCTCATAGACTTCACTACTTGGTCATTCCACTCAGGCCTCTCCTTCCTTGTTTATTCTTAGAGAATTCTGTGAGGTTCCTGAGCTCCACATCCTTCCTCTCAGTCATCCTAAGACATTTACTCTCTCACTTGTACAGGGAAACAGTTCCAACCAGATCAATTGGGGAAGGGCAATCAAGTGTCAGTGACCACTGACCAGCTCCTTCTTTCTCTGACCCCATATAGAAAGCAGTTCTCTACTGGTGCCAGGCCCTAAAGCGATGGCAAGGCTCAAGTACTTATGCTGACAAGCCTTTGATGGCTCTCGAGTAGTGAACAAGGTGTGGGGGAGAGGAGAAGTAATAAGCCTACAAAGGAACAGAACACGGAGTTCATAAAGAACAATCTGTGATTAAACAGTGTATGTCTGATTTTTGACAATTGAATCATGTGTCTGTTTATTGTCAGACTTGCAACAATTAGCCAGAAATCCTGTAGGATTAGACAAAAGTTCTATAGGTTTTGTATATTTGATTTGTCAGGTTTTTAAACACTTTTAGAATCAGGATAAAAGTTAAGATTCTGTGTATTGGAGAGGAGAATTGAAGGAGTATAAAAGGGAAAGCAAAACCCCATAATTTCAAGGTGGCTCAGTGGTAGAGCTCTTGCCTTCAATGCCTGAGGCCCTGGGTTCGATTCCTCGGCACCACATAAGAAAGAAGAAAAAAGCCGGAAGTGGCGCTGGGGCTCAAGTGGTAGAGCTGAGGGACAGTGCCCAGGCCCAGAGTTCAGGCCCCACGACCAGACGCAAAAAAAAAAACAAAAACAAAAAACCCATAATTTCATGTACAGTCAACGTTTCATTGTGTTTCTAGGATTTGTTTATGTGGATGCATATTACTGTAGTAGATGTGGGAGAATTCTGATATCCCAGACTTAGGACATGTAGGGAATTTAGAAACTTTTTCCCAATTACTGTATTATCTGCTATAACTTCATGGATTTCTACTCTGGAACAAACTTCTAAACATGAAGGTGAAATGAGCCAATCTTTGCTTTCATGCAGTGTGACTCCTTAAGGTCATTAGGAAGAGATTTGTGGCCTTGAATGTGCCTCTGTCCCTACGGGGGGTGCTCACCTTTGAAGGGGAGTCCCTGTTCCTCTGGGGTCTCTGTCCCTCTGCAGTTCCCTCCTGATAGACCTTAACACGCTTGAGATATTTTTTGAAAAGCCCTTGGTCTCAGTCAGTGAGATAGTGCATGTATAAAAAGTAGAGGGAAGTATGCTGTGTCTCAAGTGGTAGAGCGCTAGCCTTGAGCTGAAGAGCTGAGGGGCAGCACCCAGGCCCAGAGTTCAAGACCCACAACCAACAAAATAAATAAATAAAAAGTAGAGAATCCTGCTGTTCTTGAACCTATTAATAGGATATTCCTGTATGATTTATCTGTAACTTGCATTCATGCATACATGTATACATTGGGGTGTGTGTGCGCGCACGCATGCGTGCATTGGCTGACAAATTGTTTTTAGAGGCACGTTTAAAAGCCATACATATATTCTTCTTGCTTTATTTACCCAAGAAGTTTTCAATAGTTTGGAGCATTCTGTGGAGATCTGGCTGTTCTTCTAAATTTCATCTGTAAACAAATAAAAACAGAAATGCACAGCTTGCTCCTCAGTTGAGTTTTAATCTGATTTTGCTTCAGTAGTAATTCATGCCAGTTGCACATACCAAATTAACAGGTGGCGGCTGGAGGATGTATTGCTGCTGAAGCCAACAGCCAGCCAGCCCCAAATTGCTAGCAGATGTTTCTCCTCCTTAGCCCCTTAGGAATTTTATAGGCAACAATTCTTCTTTTCTTCTCTTTCTGATGAGTGCAATGGAAGGAGGGAAATGAAAACAAACTGGAGACTGAGAAACACACGTCTCAGTTTTCACCTGGTCTGGGACTTTCTAAATGCAGGTGGAACTGGTCTCCAGAAGTTAGGACAGAAACAAGCTCAGGTTTAGCTTCATGTTTAATCATGTTCAGTCAGCTTAAACCACTAAACATTTTGTCTTTTTACTTTAGCAAGAAGATTCTTACAGGAAAAAGAAACTTCAGGAGAAAAGAGAAGGAAATGTACAAAATCTAAACTGGAGTAAGAGCCGAACATGTAGAAAAAACAAGAAAAAGGGCATTGCTCAGGCCTCAAGGTACAGTCCTTTTGCCATATTGATCTAATATTTCATTCATAATTTTGCACTTTGCCATTTTTTTCTCATATTTTGTTACAGATACTTTAAAAGTGATCAGTTTTTGTAGTTCATCCTTTATAAGATGCTTAAAGCCATAGGAAGTTTTAGGGAAAGCCTAAGCCATAGCTCTGTGCCATGTCCTTGTTCTTCCTGTCAGGGCAGATGCACTTACAGAGCAGGAACAGGTGTTAGGGAAAGCCTGAGCACAGGCACCCTCCCACTGGGCCACTTAAAACTTCAATAATTAGATCTAGAATAGTCCCGACTTCCATAGTCCTTGCTTTAGACTATAGATAGAGAGCTCTTTGGCTGTGGGAAGAAAAGCACCCAGATAGTCTACTACTTATGTAGAATAGAATACATGGTAATGAGAGCAGAGCCAGAGTGTGGAGCCCAGATAGCTTGGCGCCGTGCCTTGGAAATCCTGTTTCCTGTGTGTAAAATGCAGGTACTCAACAGGGCATGGAAGTCCTATGTTCAGAAAAATCCCCTAAATTGAACCTGATGAAACATTTCTCAGCTTGAGGTTTTTTTCTACCAGGTCCACAGTATGTATGTAACTCCAGATTGCCCCCGTCCCCCATGGTGTGGCCTCTGAGTTCTGATTTCCTTTAACTTCCTGGAACACTACACTCACATGTGTAAGGGTCCCCAGCAGGCCTGCCTTGTCTCACTGATTCATATTCCATTTCTGGTGATCTCATGGGAAAGAAGTGTGTGCATAAAGACAAAATAGGTAAGTGATTTTTTTTTTTTTTAATGAACTCTTCAGGCCTACCGAACAGAGTGAGCTAAAACTTTTATGCAATGACTTTGGGAGATCGGAGCTGAGTGGCGACATGGATGTAAGAAGCTGGTGTATACAGGAAAACGCAGGAGAGGTTTGTAAGGTCGATACAGAAGTGGCAAACAGCTCATCAGTGCAGAGAGAGTCAGGTATGTAACAACTTAGGCTGAGCAAGGTACTCCAGGAAATCTCCACTGTATGAGACAGGCCAGGTCCATTGTCACTTTATAGGCAGCCTAGCTAATGACAGGCCAGAATGGAAAGCCATTGAGGTGAGAAAGACTAGAAAGTGAAGGTCCTTTTGAGCCTGGGAAAGCCTCTAGAGTTGCCGCCCTCCTGGCCATTCCTAGTTGTCATAAACATTGCTAAAGAAACAGAGTGGCTGGCTGTAGACAGTGTCCTCTTGGTGGAAAATGGAGTAGCCAGGTGAGAGTGCCACCCCTCTCTTAAGTGTGATATTTTCCGCAGAGCCAGGCCCTGTCTAGCCTAGAACTGCTGAGGCAGTGCCTGGGAATGGGAAGTAAGGGGGCTCCAGTGCCGTGCCCAGAGTAGAGGAAGTGGTGGAGCCAGAGGACCCCTGAAGTTGGCAGCATGGTGGGGCTTGGGTTGGTGGGGATAATAATCCAGCCCACCCCACTCTCCCAGACACAAGTCCCACTGAGGTACATACTAGTCAGTGGAGGTAGCTGGTCTCTTTTTGTCTTTCATTCTCATAACACATGTGTGCTCCTTTTCACTTTTCAGTCGGTCCTAGGGCTTGAACTCTCAGGGACTTGGACCGGTGGTTGTCTCCGAGCTACTAGTGCTCTACCACTTGAGCTACAGCTCCACTTGCAGCTTTCTGGTGGTTAATTGGAGATAGGAATCCCAAGGACTTTAATACCCAGGCTGGCTTCGAGCTGTGATTCTCAGATCTCAGCCTCCTGAGTAGCTAGGATTAAAGGCATGAGTACCTAGTTCCTTTTCAGTCTTAATTGGAGCTGCTTCCCACCTATATATCAGTAATGTTTTGAAATTCCTAGCTTACATCTTAATGAGAGAGGGAGAAAATTACCTATTACATCCATTTTACTAGAATAGTTTTCTCGATAGAGAAGTCTTTTACTTGCTATTTTTTGTAATGCTGAGGATCAAACTCCTTATGTGCAAGCTAAAAAAGCACTCTACCACTGAGCTTTGTCCCCAGCCTCTAGAATTATTTTTAGATGAAGACTGTGCTTGGGTTTGATTGTAACTCAAAATGGATTATATTGCCCATCCACACACATAACAGGCTTGGCCTGCGGTTTCTCCAGGTGCTGTGTTAGCTTCAGTAAGCCTCCTCAATCTTAGTAGCTAAGCAGAGTTGGCCAGTCCTGAAACTGAGTGGCCTTCCTGCCTACTTCACCTCTTTTTTTGTTAGAAGTGGCACTAGATGTGAAATTGTCTTTGTGAAATACAACATTTCCCTTACCTCCTCCAGAGGGTTACTACCAGAAGCCAGAGAAGAAGCCTTCGGACAAGTTTTGCTTGGACTCCAGTTCTGAGAGTGGCAGCTCCTCGGGCAGTGTGCGTGCCAGCCGGGGTAGCTGGGGCAGCTGGAGCAGCAGTGGCAGCTCAGAGGGTGACAGGAAACCTGCCATGGATGGGCAGCACTTCCTGCCATCTGGTGAGTCCCATGTGGCCTCCCTGTTGTCTCCTCCCACTCCCCTCCTCATGTGCCCAGCATGCCCAGTGTGAGGTCCAGGTCTGTCCAGCTTTGAGGCTTTAATTTGCTTTGGACTCCTTCCCTTTGCTCTCCTCCTTCCTCCTTTCTCTTTAATCACTAGCACTATTATTACTGTTTAGTGTCTATCTCTGACACACTTAGTCCTCACAGCTCCATCTCCCACCAAGGGAAGTATAATGAGTACAATCCCAATTTTACACATATATGCGTATGCACACAAAAACAAGATGATAAGAAATATATACCTGAATGGTCATAATGGTAATGTAATTGTAGGTGATTTGTACTCCTTTCAACTCGTATTTCCTTTTATAAATTTTATAATGGTCATTTTATAAACTCAAAGGAGTAAACACTAAAATTGTATAGCTAAATTTCTTTTTTCAGGAAAAAAAATCTATTGAAAGATAATATGGATGTTTACTTTTCTCCATCATGTGTAAGGTATTAATCCAAAATTCTTAATCTAAATATTTAATTTTATTAATTTTTCAATGAAAGGATAAATTATAAAAGACCTTTACAACTTAAATGAATTATGAATATTGGTATAAAGTGAAAAATCATTCATTAGGGATTAATAATACTAACAAGATATGCATTTTAATACAGATAATACACAGTTAATTATACTTCTTAAAACTTGTGGTATCTGTTTTTTTAAATGCAGGGGACAGTTTTTCCTCAAGTGACTTTCCTTCTGAGGCTCCCATCTCCTTGAAACTTTCACATCACATCTGTAACCCCACGTAAGTGTTCTGGGGTTTCCAGTATCTTATGCATGCTCTGGGGTTCCCTTCTCCCATGTGCAGTGGTTCCTCGCTGTTCACAGGACATGAGTTACAGGATCTTCCCCCATATGAACACACACATTCACACATGCACAGACATGAAACTCTGCACACGTTCAAGTCCCTTACACAAAATGGTATAGTATTTGGATAAAATATATGCTTATCTTCTTGTATTCTTTATCATCTCCAGATTATATGGAAAGTCCAATGCAATATAAATGCTGGTGTGTTCGTCACTGTATTTTTCCAAAAATCTGTACACTTTCAATACACACTCATTTGTCAAATAGTCATCAGTCAGAAGTACAGGTGTTTTTTCCCCAAGTGTTTGGGGACTGCTGGGTTGAATTAAAGGATGCCAAAGCTGTGGTACAGAGGGCAACCAGCTGTGTCTATAGTGAGATGAAGTCAGGGTTAGCAAGGAGGGAGTACACTGCAGTGACAAATGCACTTGGCTCTCTTGGGTGCCTTGCCTCGTGTATAAGAAGCTACAGTTAGGAGGGTGAGTTTGTGAAGAAGGAAACCCTTGCTACAGGTAGAAAGTAAACTAATGTTTAAGAATTGCTGCAAACTTTATAGACCATGATAATGACCATTTGCCTTGTGAAGGTTCAAATGTGTTTGTGACTTTAACTAAGTACCACTATCCCTCGAGACTTGAAATTTATGTAATCACTTAATCTCAATAAAAAAATTATTTTTAAAAAAGAATTGCTGCAACTTGGTGGTAGACAGCTTGGAAACTGCAGTTTGGTTAAATGATTATTGTTCAAGCAAGACTTCATTGGATCCTGGGAGTTTAATGTCCCTCAAATGTTTTCTGGCTGTGTACCTTTATGTCTGTAATACCTGTATGTTTCTATGGGTAAGACCTCTGGTGAAAACATGCAATATCTGTGTAGATTACAGTGCAATATCTGTACTTCTTGTGCAGAAAAGTCAGCAGTTCCTCTGTACTCACTTTCCCCACAGAGATGTGAGTAATCTCCTGCCGTATGCAGACCCTTCCTGTCCCAGCCTCCCTGCCGAGCCTTCAGGTGTTGAAGAAGATAAAGGTGAGGCCTGTCAAAGCTGGTATACAGGTGTTCTGTTCTGTCCCCTGGGTGGAGCTTGTCTCTAAGTTGTATGTGTAGGTTGAAGGCACTTCCCTGTGGACAGGCATCATTAGGCATCTGACTTTGGTATCTGCCAACCACTCTGTATGGATATGCAGCACCTTTGTGGTAGCCCAGGCAGAGGTCACTGATCCTACAGTCCCAGTTATTGGAGACTCTCACTGCACTTCTTCATTTCCCTAGTTGGGGAGAAGACAAAAAACAGAAACATGATGCCTGTGGGCTTAGGCATGAGACCCAGGTAGAGAGAAAGTCGGGGATGAGGTTTCTACATCTTCACCTGCTTCCACATTCCCTCCCAGGCACTTTCTCCTCCAGCTCACCTTGCCTTGGAAGCCTGCTTATCTTGTTTTAGCAATCTGGTATTCATCCTCAGTCTGCACAGTGCAAGAGCTCCAGACCTGCAGATTAGGAGTGAGGATGGTGACTTTCGTGCATGGAAATAAGAATGGTCAGAAAGAATCCCCACTCCTTCCTGGGCTTTTTAATGGAAAATTAAGTCCATTCTTCCTTCATTTTGCCCCCTCTTTTCTCCTATTCTTCTACCTCGCTCCCCTCCCCCCTACTCCCTTGTTCTCTCTCTCATCTTTTAAATAGTCTGAGACTTCATTCATTCCTGTCCAGTCAGCATCAGGAATCATAGCAGGATATGCCTGATTTGTACTCTCTGTGGCATTAGTACACATACTTGCTTCAGCTCATATAAATTAATGGTGAATGATGAGGGGTCAGGTGGATTGCAAGTTCTAGGTCAGAAGTGGACATCATGGCTCATACCTGTAATCCCAGCCACTAAGTAGATGGAGATTGGGAAGGTTGCAGTTCAAGGCCAGCCAGGCAATGAGGAAGTGAGACCTCCACTCAACAACAACAACAACAACAAAAAACCTGAGTGTAATGGTATTTGATTGTTGTCCTAGCTTATGGGAAGCATAAATAGTCCAAACTAACCTGGACAAATACACAAAGCTTGATCTCAGAAATAACAAAAGCAAGTTAAATGGGATAAATATGTGGCTCAAGTGGTAGAGTAGCTGCCTAGCAAATGCAGAGGTATGAATTTAAACCCAGTACCATGAGAAAGGAAGGCTGTTATTCCCACTGAATAGGATACTTTTTTTCACAGGAAGCATCAAGTTCTCTGTGTTGTCCCTTAGATATTTCTTAGACTTGTGTGTTTCAGGTGCCTTTGTTTGCTCCTCATTAATAGTCTGAAGCTATTATTTGATTGCCTATTACATTCCTTGGAGTAGGTCCTGAGGTCATTGAAGCAGATTGTGTCTACATGGGGCCTACTGTCTACAGAGCAGATAGCCTCCCTCACACCCAGGCTCATTCTCATCCTGATAAAACATCCTATTCATTGTTAAGCATCTTTTGAGCTCCTTGCTCTGTGCTGCAAAGTCACACTCATGGTCTTACCTGGTGCTCTCCTGCTCCTCTGTCCTGGAGAACAGGTGACCCTGCATTTTGACCACTCACTTTGCATGGGCTTACTTACTGCATCTGCTGCCCTCCTGGCCCCACAGGTCAGTGCCTTCTGCCTCCAGTGACATTGATCTTGCTTCCTGGCTTACAGCATGAGACCTTCAGAAAGCTCCACATCCCACCTACCACAGCAAGCCATTCTTTGCTTTCATAAGGATGGGAATTGTTGGTGCAGCTCTTCTTTCCAGGGACTGGTTCAAAGTCCTCACCCTCCCCTCTCCTTGTGCTTTTGGTAGGGCTCGGGCACACCTTCTTCAGGGCCTTTGCCAAATTGTTGCCACTGCCTGGCCTGTGTTTCTCAGAGCCACATGGCTCACTTCCTGTCCATAGTTGAATATTTGATGGCGTGCTCCTTCAGTGAGGTCTGACCACCATAGTCAAAATCGCACTGTTCATTTTCTGCTATACTTTTTTCCTTTGTATCTGTTTCCTTGAATGTAATTGTTCACTGCTGCATCTCTAGGATCTTAATGAGGCCTTGCACAAAGCAGCCTCTCAAATATCTATTTAACTTAGTTCTCATCCAGGCAAGGAGACAATCACACATCATCTGAAGCAAAGATAAGCAGCATGCCATCTTTCAGAGTTGCGTCAAAGGCCACAGTAGTCAGTGTGTGTGGGTGAGAGACGATAGGAGATAAATTGAGCTAGGCATTATTGGAAGGGCTACTGGAGACACTGGGTATTGAATGAAGGAAGTAGACTGAGAGGCCTTGCTTCCTCCTTCAGGTCTTTACTCACCTGGAGACCTATGGCCCCCCGAGCCAGTGTGTCTGTCTAACAGCTTCAGCTGCCCTGTGGATAACATGTCTGGTGTGATGCAGGAGCCAGTCCATAACAGGTAGGACCTTGCTGCTCTGACGCAGGCCTTGCTTGACCTAATGGCTTAGAACTGAGATTTGTTAGATGTTCTTACAAATAGTAGAATTAGAACATTTCTTCTGTCTCTTAGAGATAGATTATAATGTTTTAGAAAGTAACCAGCCAGTAGGCACTGAAAGAAACATGCAATAAAAACTGGGGACCCTTGTCATTATTTTCTGTATCTCTTAACATATATGAGGCAAATTTGAAAAACAGTCAACTCCTGATTTCTGCTCTATAGCAGCAAAGATTTCCATTGTCCCATGACATCACTCCTGAACACATTGACAAGTTTAAAAGATCAGACCGCTTAAGCATCAACTAAGTTACACAATGACAGCATCTTAAGTTTTCCATTTGGTATTAATCATTCAGTTAGGGAACCTGGAAGAAATGTTGATACCTTTGTTTAATCACAGGATCCACTGAAAGATGTTTTTGGTTCAGCTTATTACAACAGTATTTATTGTCTGATTTCTGTAATGAGAGCCCAGTTGGCAATGGTGATCAGTGTGTCATGACTAGTAGTCTTCATAGTGGTGACTTCCTAAGCTGAATATTGGTGTGAGAGGTAGACATTTTATTAACAGAACCAACATGGCAAAGTCCTTCAGGTGTATGCTTCATTAGTATTCTGGTTCCTCCACAGTGCTAATACAGCTGTGGCCTTGGGTTCTGTGTCTAGCTAAACTTAACAATGGTCGTAAAGGAGGGGTGTGCCTGGTCTAAGCCATCCATCCTACAGATGGATGTTACAGATAGTTACGAACATATAGGGATGGCCTTCGATTCCATGGCTTGAGAAAATAACATCTTTCATTTTCCTAAATTGGTGGATTTACAATGATTAGGATGTTGGGCAATAAAATCATATTCTTTATGTACTTGATCTCTTGGCATCCCATTTCTGAAACTAGACCTCTTGTTTTTTATAGCAGTTTCATTGACTGGAATGCAACTTGCGAAGGCCAGTTTCCCAATGTGTACTGCCCGTTGGAACTGAATGATTACAATGCCTTTCCAGAAGGTAAAAGTGGTTTGAGCAATCCCAGTGCTATTCTTCTATTCTCTCACAAGCTCAAAGCAGGAAGTGTGTGGACTTTAGCACAAAGCTGTGAAGAATGTACCTTTTAATAGCAAGCAGTCTCAAAGAATGGTCTTACAGTGGTTGTCAGTGATTTCATGTGGATCCAATTGTGCATGCCTGCCATGTGCAATTCTGTATGGCCCTCAGAAAGCCTTCTACATATAACCCTAGTCCATTGAAACCTTGCACTGAGGTAGAACCATGTCATTTGTATTTCTGTGGACCTTTGGGAGTCTGGGACACTAGTTGTTTGCCCTGTTTTTCCACAGCCCCATGTGTTTGCCTGCTTGTTCTTTAGAGCATGTCTTGATTTTTGGGCCAGATGAGCAGTGCTTGGAGAAGGAAGGATTGAAGTCTGGACAGGAAATGGAAGTTAGAAATTCTTGGTCTCAAGCGTGTGCTGTGATAAATAAAAATTTCCTTGGTCATCTGGAAAGTGTTCCTGTTGTAGATTACAGTATGCTCATGATTTCTCATACTAGTGCTGCCTTTCCTGTAAGCCATGTTCAGACGTTCTTACTTTGATTCTACTACCTGCACTGCTGTCTGCTAACCACAAGGGGGGATGCTTTAGTAGCGTTCCTTCCTAGGATTATTGCTCTCTATTACCTAGTGATACCTAGATTTCTAATTGTGCTTCATGTGCAGGTGCTAAGCTTGCATGACAGGCAGTTAAAAAATGAAGGAGGTATATAACTCAGCAATATACTTGCCTAGCACTTTTGAGAACCTGGATTTCATCCCCAGCACACACACATACATACCCCTAAAAAGAATGTATATGAATCCTGACACTGTCAATGGTAGTGTTTTAAGTGCACTTTGTATAAGAAAGATTCCTGTCAAATAATCACAGACACACAAACCCTGAGGCAGACTCCTCACGAGAGGTCACAGGTGGGATCTCATGGGCAGGTTTTCCCTTCAGCTTGGGATGACTGTTCCACAATTATGTCTGTTTCTTACTTGCCAATATAATAAGACTTGGAAAGTTTTTTTCTCTTGAGAGTAAGAATTTAGCTCTCTCCATGAAAATGTTCACTGTGCCACTGTTTCCCATCCCTCATAGAAAACATGAATTACACCAATGGCTTCCCTTGTCCTGCAGAAGCTCAAACTGACTTTATCGACCACAACTCTCACTCTACCTGGAACACCCCACCCAACATGCCCACTGCATGGGGACATGCCAGCTTCGTCAACTCTCAGGTAGGTGTTGCTCATCCTTTGCTGTGGACCACTTCCAGTTAATTAATCCCTCCTGAATCTGGGCCTCAGTAGCTAGCCGTCCTCCCTAGGCTGGAGTTACACTGTGGAGACTGGGAAACACCAACACTTTGGCAGCCGTGAATGAAAATGGTGTCCCAAACTACATCAAGCAGAGATTGTTTATGAATAAAATAGAAATTGGACCAGCAAAGGCTGCAACATAGCTGTCTTTAGGTGACCTTACTCACGTTTCAGCTGTGATAAGAGATGAAGTGAAAGACACAGGAAGGTCTGTTAGGGGACAGTGACTAGGTTTAACACATTAACTCCACACTTTTTTTTTTTTGAGAGGTCAAATTGGGAGTCTTTATCGGAGAGCTGGCAACTAAGATGGACTCCTGTCTCTAAGATCTGCAGATCTGAACAAAGTCCCACACCTAGCTATTAAAGACAAAATCCACATGCTTGGGCTGGAGGCACTCAAGCCTTAACAAATATAGACCACATTTCCACTCTTACTTTTTTCCTCATCTAATGGTACAAATTTATTTGTGATCAAAGGAAAGAGTCATATCCAAATGCCTTTCATTAAAGAAAAATGTGTAAAGAGCCAGGAGTGGTGGCTCATGCTGTGATAATAAGATTTGAATGGAGAGTCTTATGCTTGATAGGCAGATGCTCTACTGCTTAGGCCATGCTCCAACCCTGTTGGTCTTATTTTTGAGATAAGCTCTCATTTTTGCCTGGCTATTCTAGACCACCATAATCCTGCTATTTATGCTTCCTGTGTAGCTGGGTTGGCAGGCTACCCACATTTTTACTTGGTTGAGATGAGATCTAGCAAACTTTGTGGCTGGCCTTGAACTGCAATCCTCCCAACCTTCACCTCCCAAGCTAGAATCACCATCATATGCCACTACAGCTGGTTCTTCACTTTTTTTTTTTTTGGTCGGTCATAGGGCTTGAACTCTGGGCCTGGGCGCTGTCCCTCAGCTCTTCAGCTCAAGGCGAGTGTCTACAACTTGAGCTACAGCACCACTTCCGGTTTTCTAGTGGTTTATTGGAGATAAGAGTTTCACGGACTTTTCTGCCCGGGCTGGCTTTGAACCACGATCCTCAGATCTCAGCCTCCTGAGTAGCTAGGATTGCAGGTGTGAGCCACCGGTACCCGGCTCACATTTTTTTTTTGTTGTTGATTCTTTATTTTTTGGTTGGTCGTGGGGCCTGAACTCGGGGCCTGAGCACTGTCCCTCAGCTCTTCAGCTCAAGGTTAGCACTCTACCACTTGAGCCACAGCACCACTTCCACCTTTTTCTGCTTATGTGGTGCTGAGGAATCGAACCCAGGAACTCATGCATGCAAGGCAAGCATTCTACCACTGAGCTACCTTCCCAGCCCCTCACATTTTTTTTTAAATCAAGGCATTTGGCTGTGAGTTTTCCCTAACTTGGATGGGTACCATGGAACTGTCCACTGGTAAGTGTTCAGGCTCAGCTATCTAAAGCTTCTGGTGTTTTTAATTGTGTGCCTCTTTTTCCCTATTCGCCTTCAGCCCTACCTCACCAGTACCCGAAGCTTGTCTCCGATGTCTGGACTTTTTGGTTCCATCTGGGCCCCACAAAGTGATGTGTATGAAAATTGCTGCCCCATTAGTTCCACCACGGAACATTCAACCCACATGGAAAACCAGGCTGTCATGTGTAAGGAGTACTACCCAGGGTTTAACCCATTTCGTGCCTACATGAACCTGGACATATGGACTTCCACAGCAAATCGCAACGCGAACTTCCCACTGTCCAGAGACTCCAGCTACTGTGGGAATGTGTGAAGAGAATTGGATTTTTAAACAATGTGAATAAAGAGGCTTGTGTTTTGATTAAGAGTGTAAACTGGTTGTTAAGATAGATTACGACATTGGCAGATATTTTGGCACTTTTATATGAAAATAAATTTTTTAATGAAATCTGGGTGCTCTGTTTTTTTAACCTTCCATTGATAAACCAGTGGCAGACTCAGCATCCATCTGTCATAATTTCCATAATTGAAGAACCGTGTCAGGCATGCCCAGTGTTTGAAACGAGACCAGCAGGGAGAAGGTAAGTCTTGGAGGGGAGTTGCTGGTAGACCCCTCCCTGAGCATCAGCACCACTATGGACATTATAAAGTTACTTGGAGCTCTACTCAGGAGGCTGAGTAAAGCTGATAATCCCAGTTTGAAGCCAGTTGAGGCAGGGAAGTCAGTGAGACTCTTACCTCCATTAAAACTCGTGGCTCCAGTGGTAGAATTCTAGCCTTGAGCAAAAAAAGTCAGTGAGACTCTTACCTCCATTAAAACTTGTGGCTCCAGTGGTAGAATTCTAGCCTTGAGCAAAAAAAGCTTGGGGACAGTACCCAGGCTCTGAGGTCAATCTTCAGGACTAGCACACACAAAAATTGAGTTACTTAGGCACCAGTCCAGGGCAGATGTTGCTTGAAAACAGGGCTGCTTCCCAGTCCTGTCATGTTTTGGCTGCTGTACAGAAACAAGGGCCTAATGTTTGCATCCCTGGGACAGAAGCAGGGGCATTCTGGTAAGTGCAGAGCTGCCCTACCTACAACCAGTCACACTCTCAATAGCAGTCTCAGGAGGAAGTCTTCCCACACATCCCATTGCTTTGTGGCTAAGGTTGTTTGTGCATATGCAGACTAAGAATATTTTCAATAAAATTTTATTGTTTTGTCTTCATTGGAAATTGAAGTATGACTGATTTTTCAAGTAGAACACAACATTCCTTTTTGTTAGAGTTGAGTGAGGACAGGTGTACAGAGTGAGTACATCTCAGGCTGCCATGCTTCTGGGGAAGTATGCTGATGATCTCTGCAGCCCTGGACAGCATTTAAAGCAGTGGAGATAAGTGAGTTTCAGACAGTACCAAGGAGGGGGAAATGAGCCCAAGGAGAGGCTGTGGAAAACTGCACATCGAGTGCCAAGCAGATACATCAGTTGGACCTGAAGAGGTCAGGGACATTGGTCAGGGAAAATGATGGTGGTAAATCATTCCATACCAGCCAGAGCAAGATGGGGGGCATATGGAGGGTCTGTGCCAGCTCTCAGGGGAGCTACAAACCTGTGCAGAAGCAGCAGGCAGTAGCCAGGCCCAGCACTGGGACCCTGCACTGCCTGGAGCAGGAAGGCCCACAGAGCAGTGGCCTGAGCAGGCACACTGGACTGGAGTGTCCTTGCCCTCCTTGCTGGCTGGAATGGTGCATGGGGAAGGGGATGAGGACAAAAGATTCATCTCAGAAGCCTCCACAGATCTAATGCTTCTCTGCCATATTAGTCTGTTTCATGTTTTAGCATGACAGAGAAATACTTCAGCTAGTTGTTTAGAATTTTCTCTCTGCTTCTTTATTCTCCAGGGTTTAGAGGTTTGTTTTTTTTTTTAATCTGGATGTCATTTTACCAGTTTCCAACATGCCTTTTTTGCTATTCTAGGGTGAGGCATGTCTCTGCTTGCCTACAATGTCGTCATGATTCATCATATTTTAACAGGTTGTTGGAGCGAGTCTGAGGACTGAGCCAGTGAGAAGGCAGGAGGCTGGTGGCCATGATTGGCTCCTGCTCAGCATGCTGGTGGTGGCAGTGATGGCAGCTCCTCATTCAAATACTTCTTTTGAATGAAGGTATTTAGTGTGATATGTTCTTCCCTTTAGTTCTGGGGGGGAGGTGGGCAAAGCAGTGTATATTTTACTGTATTTTGGTCAGAACAGGGTTTTGAACTCAAAACCTTTCACTTCCTTGGCTGATGTTCTACCACTTGAACCACACTTCTGGTCCTGTTTGTTGTAGGTTTTGTTTTTTTTTTTCTCCTGGTTAATTTGAGATGGAATCTGAAAAGACTTTTCTACCCTGGCTGTTTTTGACAGATTTCTGTCTCATCTCCTGATTAGCTAGGATTACAAGCATGGGCTACTGGTGTGTAGCAGTAATACTTTCCAAACTGCAGGAAGTTCCAGCCATTCACAGCAGTCACTTTCACTTCCTAAAACTGAAAAGTCTGAGAAATATATTGTGCAAAAGTGGAATTTTCACCCAGTCATTTCCTGGAGAGACTGGCCTGAACCAGAACAGAGTGAGATCTGTGCCAGCACTGGACACAGCTGGCACTGCTCAGTGACACGAGTTTCTGAGGGTTATTGCAAAACTCATCTTGGCCATGATTCTCTGTGGGTCCAGAGAACTTTCTCAGCACAGCTGTCCCTTGAAACAGAAAAAGATCTCTGTTCCTTAGCCTTCTCTCCCATTCTCTGAGAGCAAGCTGCTCTTTTATTGTTGGGCCACACTACCAGAGGGCCTTTCATCAGCGGTCTGCCCATCCGCTTTGTCACTCCCCTTGATTTTCCTGAACTATTTCCCAATTATCCCCCAATCCCATTCTGTCCCTTGAGATTCTCTGGGAGGCAGCACCCTCTGCTCTGTCTACAACACCGAGGCTTCTTTCCCAAGAGAAACTTGAGCTCAACTACTTCATGAGAAGAAGTTGGTATGGTTAATTAAAGACCAAAGAATATTCACATTCCTTAGTACACTTGCCTTTTGTAGCAAAAAGGCATATTAATCCAAGTGGGTCCTTTCTGAATGGTTCAGTGGCCATAAAGAGTTTGGGGCAAGGTTGGTCCTTTGTAGCTCCCTTAAGGACTAACTCTCAGTAGTATTTGTCTCTTTTCAAGAATGGTTAAGTCTCTGGGCATAGGTAGCTTATTCCTGTAATCCTAGCTCCTCAATCCCTATGACACTCATTTCTAGTTAACTGCTGAAAAAAAAAAGCTGGAAGTGGAGCTATGGCTCCAATGGTAGAACAGTAGCCTTGAGGAAAAAAGAAAAAGCTCAGTGACAGCACTCGGGCTCTCGGTTCAAGCAAGCCCCAGGACCAGCACCAAAAAATCAAGCTCCAAAAGCCAAATATTAGCCAGGTACTGGTAGCTACTTAAGAGGCTGAGATCTGAACATGACAGTTCAAAGCCAGCCTGGGCAGGAAAGTCTGAGACTCATCTCCAATTAACCACCAGAAAACTAAGTGGAGCTGTGGCTCAAAGCGGTAGAGCACTAGCCTTGAGCAAAGAGCTCAGAGACAGTGCCTAAGTCCTGAGTTCAAGCCTCGGGACAGGCTCCAAAAAAAAAAAAAAAAAAAAGCTGGGCACTGGTGGCTCACGCCTATAATCCTAGCTACACAGGAGGCTGAGATCTGAGGATTGCAGGTCAAAGCCAGCCCAGGCAGAAAAGTCCGTAAGGCTCTTCTCCAATTAACCACCAGAAAACCAGAAGTGGCTCAAGTGGTAGAGTGCTCGCCTTGAGCTGAAGAGCTCTGAGACAGTGCCTAGGCCCAAAGTTCAAGCCCTACAATCAAAAAGAAAAAAGAATGTAAAGAGTTCAGTGAAAGTTGCTGGGACTTCTACCAGCCCATACCACTGCATGCTTAGGGCTAGACTATGGTCTCTGCTTACCTAGCTACATTATCGCTCTCCTTGACAGATTATGAATCTGTTCAAAGCAGGGTCACTCAAACAGGAAAGAGAATTGACTAGGAACAGAATAGCTGATTGTATGACATAGCCCCCTTATTTTCACCCCATTCCTTCAACACTTTTTTTCCAGGTAGTGGGACTTGAACTCTGGGCCTGAGCACCGTCCCTGAGTTCTTCAGCTCAAGGCTAGCACTCTACCACTTTGAGCCACAGTACCACCAGTTTTCTGGTGATTAATTGGAGATAAGAGTCTCACTGACTTTTCTCCCCAGCCTGACTTCGAACCACAATCCTCAGATCCCAGTCACCTAAGTGTAGGGTCTGAACGGGGACACCTCCCTCCCTCATGGCTAAGTTTCTGCCCAGTATCTGTTACCTAGGTAACTGGAAGACCTGGAAGCAGCCACCTTCCCCTCCAGCTAGGTCACATCCTGAGCCACCTCTGGTCACATGCCTCCCATCTGACCTTAGGAGCATCGCATCGTCCCCCCTTCCTTTTTCAGCCATACCTCTCCACCATGCATGGTGGGGGCAGCAGTTCCACAAATAAACTTCTTCTCCTGCCTGAGTAGCACGTGGTGTTCTCTTCATCGGCTACCTAATGAAACCTACCTATTTAATATATCTTACACTAAGTGGTTGGGATTACAGGTGTGAGCGACTGACACCAGACCCTTCAACACTTTGAACAGTTTGGACCCACTTCATAGGTAAAACAAAGTCCCTATATTTAAATCTTTTCTGAAAATGTTAATTAACGTCGAACATTTGCCAGGCTCTGGCCTCTATATTCTAGATAAGAATGTTCTCCTTAACTGGTGAAAACTGAGCCTTTTGATCTGCTTATAGATCTCAACAATGGCAGTGTAAAGATTTGAACCCAACTCTGCCTGACGGAACATTTGCCCTTATGAGCCATGCTCCTAGAAACATTGGAGCTTGGGAACTTTGTCCCTGGCCATTGTCTGATCTTTGGGCGCTTTTCTGTCCCTCTAAAATTGCCTACCCCTTCCCAATTCCTTCACTCCATCAAGAGGAGGTTTGAGCCCCAACTATCTGGCCTACCTTTGACTTTGATGTTTTGTGTGGCTCCCAAGCATGGGTTCCTGAATGAATTTGTATGTCTTGTCTCCTGTCTTCTGTGGATTCAAATACCTCACTAGCACCTCACCAGCAGAGGTGTAATTGAACAGGGCAGAGGAAAGAACCCAGGATTTGGGGTAAAATTCTAGTTTCACTCTCAGTCCTATCGCTTAAAATTTGCATGACATTTTCTGTATAACAGATGAGCAAGAATGCTTCCTTCAATTCAGAGTTCCCTGTGTGAAGACCAAATGTAATTACGATAGGGATATTAGGAATATTAAGGCAGTTTAATTTTTTAAAGGCAGTTGGTTTCGTTTTCCCTTATGAATTTTTCTCCAGGACAGATAAACTCACCTGTGTGGAAATGAAGCC